CCAGGGCATCAAAGACAGAAATAGATTAACTAACTGTGTCCTCACTCCTGTCCTGACCACAGAGGAGGAGACATGTTTTCTATCCATTATCATTTACAGTTCAGTAAGTGTAGGGTGGCAAAACGCTGTCACACTTGCATGAAACTGTACCTATAAGATAATGATGACTGTCAAAACATTACACAAGAGTCCATCTTCATGAAAATGGGCCTGGGCTGGTGGTCCTGATCACAGCTCTCCTCAGTCAGCTCATGGCTCTAAACAGACCGACTACTGAAGAAAACCGTGGGAATATTTGCCCTCAGATTAAGTGCAGCAGTTTTGGATTTAAGCCTGTGTTTGTGTGTGAGGGCCTCCCACCAGCTCTTTGAATACAGTTTACTTCTAGACACAAAATACCACTTATCACTCCCTTAACTCCTGCTCAATTCAGCAGATTTGCACTGCCTTTAAGGTTCTGCTACTGATACGTTTCATGCAATCTCTCTCTTAAAAGCCAAAACCAGTTGATAAGAGGGGAGAGGAGCTCAAGAAGAGCGAGAGCGGGTAAGGCAGGAAAGGGGAGAGAGGATGGAAATGGGCTGAGAGGCAAAGAAAAAGTAGACAGGATTTCATTTCACAACCACACCTACCTCCGACCGACACTACCTTTCCGTTTCCCACCCTTTCCTGTGCACACACACACACACACACACACACACATACACACACACACACACTTGCCCCCTGGTTCACTCATTCCCAAAATTACACCAGATGTCACATCAAGCGTCTCTGGCCAAAGCTCGGCAGCAGCCAGTTGAAGAATTTGAGATATTCTGGAAAATATTTGTGCAACGGCGGAGGATTGAAGTGGCTGAGGCCTGGAGAGCGAGAGGTTAAACCTGTGCAGCTTTAATGAGCAGCTATGTGATGGACAGCTGTAATGCTATAGAGGCTAATGGAAGGGTGAGGGGGGGGGGGGGGGGGGGGTAGGAGCAGGGTGTAGAGCAATATAGGGTTAATGCTGCAGGGCCGGTTATGAAGCCGATTGCCTTGGGCTGAAAGGTTACACATTGAGTCTACACTGCTAATGACAATCTGTGCGTGTGTCACTCAAGGAAATATCACATCACCGAGCACCTCAATGTGTCACAGACCTGAAATGATAGCAGTACATCTGAGACTCTAATGGGGAAAATGTGTTTTAGTCAGCGTAGATTGACTTTAAAGAGATCATGCAATCTTGTGCCTTTTATAGATGAGGTCATGTAAGCTATACTCCACCAGGACTCAGGAGGACTACATTTGTTTAACTACTGTTGACGGGCACCTTTCAGGGTTCTGCAACTACAGTTGTTTTACAAACTTGTTAAGTTGTTAACTTGATATGATTTTTTTTTTCCACCTTGTATGTAGTAAAATGCTGAACCGCAAACGACAATGATCTTGGATTTAGCTCATGTTCATCCTTTTTAATATTTTTTTGTTACAGTTGCAGTCATATGATACATATGATCTGTTGACAATAACATATAAAGTTATTAGCTGCTTGTTCATGATAAAAGTTCAGAAAGGAGCTGTTCATTTTGGATGGATGGGGTGACATCAGGTGTCAAAGCTGACATTCATCACATTTGTCAGTGTTCTTATTTGTTGACATGTAACTTTTTCATTTTACATTTGTTACAATTTTTAGTGTATTGTTTTTTTTTTTATATATTTACAAGTGTCTTTGAATATCTTTTCTAAGTAGACTCAGTTTATCCAATCAGCTATCTCCCTTCGCTTCGTTTCAGCATCGCTCAGAGTGAAGTGCGCACAAGTTTTAAAACTCTGCTTTCAAAGCTTCCTAACACCGGAAACAACCTGACATAACTTTTTTTTTAGATCAACCTATAGCACTAAAGGTCAGTGCAAACTGTCCTGGACGATCCATGTTTAGTGCTGCAGGAATAGGCCTGTGCCGCTGACTGTGAGTGACGGACACCAACGTATGCGCTGTCTCCTTTACATCGAGTAAAACTTAATCTGGGTTTTAAGTAAGGCTACTTTTAGAGTGAGCCTGTGATTTCCAGGAAGTGTTTCCACATAAACTTCCACGTTGAACTGGACGAGAGTGTATATTACAGGTTCAGGAGACAGAAAAAAGGAGAAGAATGAAGTTCTGCTGTCTGCGGTGGAGTGAGTGTATTTATAGTGTGTGTGTGTGTGTGTGTGTGTGTGTGTGTGTGTGTGTGTGTGTGTGTGTGTGTGTGTGTGTGTATACGATGTTTGTGTGTGTGTCTGTGTGTGTGTGCGCTTCTTATAGCCTTATAGCCTCAGCTTGGCTGCTAAGAGAGAGAGAAATCCGAGCCAAAATGAAAATCAGCTGATGATTCTTGTCCTCAGCTGGAACTGCAGTGTGTGTGTGTGTGTGTGTGTGTGTGTGTGTGTGTGTGTGTGTGTGTATGTGTGTATTTTCATCATCATTCAGATCCTGCTGTGTTTATGCATCATTAGTCTCGTTAAGCAGAAACAACACAAAGGAGGACCTCTTTATTCCTCCGTACACATGTGAGTGTGATTAAGGATGGCCTCAGATGTCCTTTATGCAAACACAACCAGTGGCCTCAGGGTGTGTGTGAGTGTCGGTCTACACAAAGGCATCCCTGCATGAACTGTGTGTGTTTAATTGTGTGTGTGTGTGTAGCATCATCTGGCAGATAGAAACTAATTAAAGGTAATGAAATATGTTTGGTGAACACCAACTTTAAGCCCATTCAGGATGAAGTATTCTTCTCCCCCTCGTACCCTCCACACACCCACATTCCACACCCTCATTCAAGAACCCCTGATACCCCACCCTCCCTCCTCTTCTACCCCCTTTCTCCTGGCCTTTCTTCTTCTCCCTTTTAACCCCCCTGCCCCCTCCACCCCTCATGTGTAATCCCCCCCCCCCCCCCCCCCCCACCACCCACACACACACACACACACACCACCACCACCACCACCACCGCCGCCTCAGACCTCTAAAGTGGGCCAACCAATCATCACTGAGCAGCCAGATTGTGTTTAGCATGACAAAGGAGAATCTGTGAGACCATGTGTGTGTGTGTGTGTATGTGTGTGTGTTTGAATGTATTGTGTGCATGCATGTGTGTGTGTGTTCTCCTGTAGAGTTTTCAACCAGTGACGGAAGTTGGTTTTTGCAGGAAATTCGCTCCACATGTCCTCAAAGTTCATCTGCATTATATGGTTTCAGATGAAACAGTATGTTTCTGTCTGAGGTTTCTTAATAAGTTTAACAATATAAACTCAGGCAATGGAAAACTTGTGTCTGTCTTTGGAGTTAATGTGCACCATTTGTTACATCCTGCCTAATAAAACCCAGTTCCTGCTTGACTTTCTAGCTGATTTTTCTACTATCAATGCTTCGCTACATGAATCCTGTGGTTGCTGCTCCCACCTGCTCCTGTAAAGCCCCCTCAGCCACGCGTCCCTCCTCTTGCTCCCCTCTGTCAGGGCGCAGAGGCATTCCCCGTCCACAACACATGCTTAAGCAATTATTCCACGCAGTCCCCCGCACAGAGAGGCAGAGACAGAGGGAGAGAGAGAGAGAGAGAGGGGCAGAGGGAGTCATTTCAAGAGGAGTGATCAGGGGCAGCTGGCCTGGGATTTGCAGGGTTCTGAGAGAGAATGTGTAGAGAAGTTAGGCGCAACTCCCATAATCCTTTTCAAAAAGAGAGAAAGGAGAGACTGGGGATTGAAAACAGAGAGGAGAGAAAGGGGGGCCACTGGAGCTTGAAAGTAAAAGGACTGGGCTACAGTGACAACGGCCGAACACAAGGCACACACATCGAACACACACCACACACACTCACACTGAATCAGTGAGAATCCGGACGGGATGCCTGCAGAATAACAAGTCAAACTGTACAAACACGCTGTCTGCGGGAGCAAATCAGGGAAGCAAACAGAATCAATACCTTAATTAAACTTTGATTTCCTCTCAGTGATCATGATCAGCTCTGTGGTTTATCGCTCTGTAGCTGGAATGGCACCTCTGGGGTTCTCGGGGTCACATGAACAAGGTTGTGGGGGCACAGGAGGGGAGGCACAGGCTATTTAAAGGGCAGGTTGAAACGCTTCAAAACACTTCAGGTGCGGGCGTGTCTGCAGTGATGCTCTGTGGACTCTCAGTTTACGAAGTGATGACACAGTTTGAGGTAACAGTCAGATAAATGCTGCTGAGTTTGTCTTGTGTTGAGGCACAATAAACATACAGTTAAAGTGCAACTGAAATGTAACGTTTGAATTTGGTCCACAATGTCTCCTGTTCAATGTCCGACTTTTCGTTTGTTCTTTATTGTGTTGTTGAAAGGCCTCGCGTTTAATGTGTTTTATCTCTGAAATAATGTGCTGTGCCCAGACAACCTCAATAAAGACTCCATTAAATATAGATTCATTGAAATAAAAGGTGTGTGCTGTCTGATTTTGAGACTGTAAAAAGACTTTTTCCATAACAGTGTGACAGTCTGCAGTGTTGTGTGTATCTCTCGGTGTTGTGGTGTGTTCTCAGTGTTGTGTGTTCTCAGTGTTGTGTGTTCTCAGTGTTGTGTGTTGCTGTCAGTGTTGTTGTTGCTGTCAGTGTTGTGTGTTGCTGTCAGTGTTGTGTATTTTTCTCAGTGTTGTGTGTTGCTGTCAGTGTTGTGTGTTGCTGTCAGTGTTGTGTGTTGCTCTCAGTGTTGTGTGTTGTTGCTGGGTGATAACGGGATGCTGCAGAAGTTGTCTTGTGCTCGCAGATAACAGACACCACTTAAAACACGATAATGTTTTTATTGGCAACCAGCACAAAGAGCGGGTCCTTTTGAAATGTGTCTTTCCAAACACTTTGAGCTGCAGCGAGAAACAAATCATGCAGGCTATTTTGTGGTCTCTGAGTTGCTGAATCCAAATCAGTCTCATGTGGACAAAATTGGTAACATTAAAAACAACGGAGAGAAAGAAAAAAAAAAAAACAAGCTCTCTTAAAAACTTACCGAGCAGCAGACAGAAGATGTCGAGCGCGATGAGCACTTTCTTCTTGCTGTTGTTCACGCCGTTGTTGTTGTTTAACGTGGAGGTTCCTCCGTTCCTTGTCTCTTGGGCCATCGCTTTATCATACATGTACTTTTGCATTGGAGAAGCCCCGGGTTCAGCTCTAAATCCCACACCACGCGTGAGGAGTTCAAACTGTGTCAGACGCTCCGCTCCGTCTTGTCAAAGTTCCAGAGGAAAACGTATAGATCTGCTGCTGGTTTCCTTTGACACTTCAGGATTAAAAAAACAAACAAAAAAAAAACAGCAACAACTAAATAAAACAGTGTTATTATCTGTGTATCGGACCCGCGGCTCGGACTCCACACACAGAAGTAGTCTGCGCTCCGGCTGAGTGCAAAGCGCGCTCCTCTTATCGCAGCCTGTTGGACAGAATTGCGCTGCGCATCGACAGCCGCGCTTGTTTTATCAATCCTCCTTCTTCTCCTCCTCCCCCTGCTCTCTTCAAGTATCCACCCGGCAGCGTCCAGGCTCAGCCCTCTTCTCTCTTCTCCCTGCTAGCGGAGGGTGATCAGCTCCATCCTGCACGGAAAACTTTCTAACGGTGCAATGTGAGGGTTTTTTTAGCGCCCCCAGCGGCTATGAGAGGTATAACAGGCGCTCGTCAGAGGATGTTTGCTCTTTTTTTTTTATGATCAGTTAGGCTATTTACAGTAACGAGGTTAAAGAAAAACTATTGTTAAGTTGAGTTTGTACTTCCCGTCTTTCTCCCTGCTCTTCTTTTTTTGTAGTTCTTTTGTGAATGGAAAATGAAGGTTACATTACTTGTCCTGTAGGTGTCTTAATAGGCCTACTGGTTTGTAAAAAACAAACAAATAATTCAACAATCAAACATAAAACTATATAAAAAAAACCGAGTGTGAACATAAGTGTATGCTAATGCAGCACAGACCCTCTTTTCACTGTTTCTTCTTGTCCTGAGTTAAAGGAATTCACTAATAGAAGTTTTGAAACTGTTTTTACCCTCAAAGAAAACTGAGAAATATTTCCGAAAGAAACATTTGTAAAATGTGTATCTTCCATCTCCTATGGAAAACATGATAAATAAGTATTATGTAGCTTACCTTAATTCAGTTGTATTTGTTTAATGTTCATTCAACTGGGAGAGTCCCTTCAAGATTGAAAAATCTGTTTTCCAAAAGAAAGGTGACTAAAACAAGAAACAACAACACTGTTTATAAGACTGAAATCAGTTATATTTAAAACATGGACATCCTCAGGAACCTGCTTCTAAACACACACAATTTCAACTATATTTAGAACAATAAAAGAAAAATGATATCAGTGCACATCCTACTTTAGCTGTTGTGGTCAAAAACAGGACTAGAAAACTCTAAAAATGTTCCTTCGGGGGAGAACTTCATTCAGTCTTTTCAGAGCTCCATGATCCAGACTGGAGCAGCTCAGATAGTGACGCTGATAAATTAAACTTACACTGACATCTAGTGGTGACTTGTCAACAACCCAGCTCAGTCTTTCTTTCCCCCTCACCTTTATCCTGGTAGTATTAGGATTTCTGTATGTTTAAGTGTCACTTTCTGCTCTGAGAGTTCATGGATGACTCTTGACAAGTTGATGAGTTTGTTTGGATTGATATGACGCACACATCAGACACAACGACTACCTCCTCACTATCAGTATCACATTACTGATGCATTTCTTTTTGCTTATGTATTTATAATAAACCCTGTATTCATATCATACATGTGTTCCTTTGTAGGCTACAAAAGATCTTGCCATGATGATTTGGCCTAACAGCTGCAGCATATCTATTCCTGTACGGCCTCTACTGTCTGCTGCACTAGTCATACTGGTTCATATACTGTTCACTGCATGTATATCTGCCTGCTGCCTCAGTAAATCCCACAGTTCTTAGCTTCATCCCTCATTTTAAAGCGCTCACTCATTCTCTTTGTCCGCATGCAGACTAAAACACATGCATATTCTTCTTTATTAATTATTATTTATTAAAAAAACAACACTGACAGTAACATGCCATCAGAATATAGACAAAAAGCAGAACAATAACAACAACAACAACAACAAACACTGTAAGAACATTAGGAAGAAAAAGACAAGATACAGAGAAAATAAAATACATAGGGTCCCCTCAGTAAATCTATAATTTCAACAAAGATCTTCCAGATCATGAAATAATTTTATCCGTTTTATATCATGTTGTGTTGCTTTATTAGAGTTTGTGGAGGTTATTTAATCAAAAAGGTCATGACTCTTGATGGGCTTCCACTGTCTTCTGTACCTGCTGCGCAAACTGTTCACCGTATATAATCATGAGTGCTGATTATATATCATGCTGCCACTCAGTGCACTTGCTTTTTGCACTTCTGGTAATATGCTAATCTGTTTTTTGTTTCATCAGTAGCCTACTTGTACTCTGTGCAATGACGTTACAGATAAATCTAGTCAAAACAAGATGACATAAATATGACACTTTGTGTGTGACCTCAACAAGGACGCAAACAATATGTGATGCACTCATTTGTGAGCATTAGAAATCTAGTGACAGACCAGTTTGATATCCCCATACTGATACAGGGAACAGAGACACAGCAAAAACTCAGTCATGCATTGGTTTTGTATTTGTTAAAATGTCCCTTCTGTCTTAACAGTCTCACTCTTGTGTTATATTGCTGAGAAGTGGCCTATTCCTAACGGAAATATTCGTAAAGTATAGGGTTGAAAGATATGGGAACACATAGAAGTAGCCTGTTATGTGATTGGTAGGAAATATCATTTTTATTTCAATGTTTTTATTTTCAAAGAGAGAACTATTACAAACTTTGTCATGTCACATTCTTCAGGATCTGCTCCAAACACGTTTTCTTAAAGCTCTTTAAAGGAACTTATTATTATACATTTTGGCACCCCCTGTGGGAAAAGTGGTAAATTTATCTCTTCACTGATGTGTGGTGATGTTTCTCCCCCTAAAAATCGCATTATTCTTTATTTTTCCATAATACATAATGTTTTACTATTAGTTGTCAGTGAATGTGCACCTAATTTGACACCTACTGTATGTGGCAGGGCTGACAGAAAAAAATAGTGTTAAAAAATAAATATTTTACCTTAAGACGTCAGTGTTGATTTCAGTCTGTTTTATAATGAACCAAAAACTCCTAAAATTAAGTTTTAATATTGGGATCTCAAGATTTGTAGACCTGCTGCAGATTTGCAGTGGTCAATACAAAGAATGAATAAATGAATGACTACAAGATTGAATGAATATTTGATTCATGTGTCATTTACATGATGACCATCCTTCATGGAATTATTCAGACAGCATGGACGAAGTCCTGAAGAGACGAGTCTATAATTTTTTATCTACTTTTTGATTTATTTCTCTCTTAGTCATGCAGGTCATAAGAACGATGAAACTGGTTAAAAAAATGCACATGCTTTTAACTCTTAAAATCAAAAACAAAAAAAGATGCATCAATTAGAAGATTTTATTGTATAATTTATAACTTCAAATGAGTTTTTAAGGGTGTAAAACACATTTTTGTTATTTAAAGAAATTACATATAATGAAATTTAAAATGTCAATAAAACACTTGTTTAAAATCCAAAGATATTTATACCTGATTCAATGCCATGCCAACAAAAAAATAGAAGTCCTCGGCACCAATTATTGGATAATTTCCCTTTTTTAATTAAAAACAATTGCAGACAGCACAGTACAGCACCATCATCAAGAAAAAACATTTACCATCCTCCAACTACGGTGGCCCTAAAGACCAACTGCAAAAACATTTCACACAGTTATAAAACACAATTAGGCTATCATTAATGAAATCACTTAATGCCAAAATACATTGTGAAATGCAAAAATATGTCATGATACTCAAATGATTTTCATGAACTGAAAAACATTTTATTTCAGTTTTACGTTTCATGAAATGTTTGAAATGAAATATTTCTTGTACCATAAAATGTTTTTCCCTTTCATAAGATGTTTTTGCATTCAGTTAAATGATTTGGTTTTATTTTGCATTCAGTGAAAAGTTTTTGCAATTGACCTTCAGGGCCACTGTAAGTAACACTTCATGTGGTAAGACAAAATGAATATCCTACTGACGAAAACAAGAGTAGGCTTAGGCTATACCAACGCAGCTTCCTAAAAAATTAAAATGCATTACACAAAAGCAAACAGTTTGCATTTGATTTTGTTCAAAGGTTCATGCTTTGCCCACAGCAAAATACACTTAAAATAAGTCTTAAATGTAATAACAGGGTGAGAGTGATTTAAGTGGCAAAAGAAGAGGCTACACTTCAACAAACTAAACACACCTGTTCATTATGAATTATGATACCAAGGCACACAGGTCTTTAAAGGACAACTTGTCTCATAATACCACTCTAAGCTCCGCCCCTTCGTAATACCTTTATTCTTCGAGAGTTCTTGAACAGTAGGGTAGCAGGTGACTGGGATGCGTAACTCAACGTAACATTGTTGGGCAGACGTCCAGGGTAGATTGGACGCTGTTTTTCCAGGGTTAAAATACTCTTTACGGTAGTCTAGAAGTCAGCGTGGCCTCACTTGTAAAGTACCGTAATTCTGTTTAATCCGGACGGTCCCTCTTCCTCTCAGTGACGCGCCCCGCCCCCCTCCTCGCTCCCCCACAGCCAGGCAGCACGCCCACCGCACCGAGCGAGCAACCAGCCGTCGGTAACGGAGAAGATGGCAGAGCGGCAACAACAGAAACACGAAGGACGAGTAAAGATCGGCCATTACATCCTCGGAGACACACTCGGAGTGGGAACCTTCGGGAAAGTGAAGAGTTAAGTGATACTGTTGCGTCGGTGTTGAGGTGAACGTGTTGGGGAGTAATGTGAAGAAGTCTCCGTTTATCCGTTCCGCCTCCCCGTTAACTTACCGGCGGGCAGTGCGCAGTTAGCGTAGCTTGACCTTTTAGCTGCGGAGGAAGCGGAGACTTTAAAGTGTAAACGTGTTCTGAGAATCTGCTTCAAAGTCACATTCTTCTACCGTGTGCAGCTATGACAGGTGTCGTTACCTGGAGCAGGACTGTGACAAGATGCTGCACAGTCACATTACATGACCATTAATGAGTGAAATGTGGTCTCCGTGTGTAAGCTCGCAGGATGAGACCACCGTGCAGCTTCATGTTGACAATATGTTTAGTAACCGCGTTGCTATGGGGTCCTTGTGCTAGTGACTGTTAGCTTGTGAGGCGCTTACCAAGCAGGGACAATCCTTTTCAGGCAAAAAGTTAAAACAGTGAGATTTCTTGGATTTTCTTTCAGTTTTCTTGGCTAGTTTTCAGACACTGTGTGTGACCTTGTGAGCTTAAACTCCGCCTGTTTGTTGTGTGCGCAGTTTGAGGGGCGTTAGCTTAGCTTATGGAGGAGGAGGAGGAGGAGGAGGAGGAGGAGGGGGGGGGGGGTGTCAGTCAACCCACCTGCACAAGACAGTCCCAGGCTAACATGGTCAGGTAGAAACAGAGATCATGTCACTCATCCTAGTATCAGTCAGATATTGACAGTGATAATGGTTTGTTCCACACTAAAAGAGAGATTTGACTCATTCTAATAATTCTACATAACTCATATTTGTAGTGAAGCTGAGAGTTGGAGTTTTCTCAAAGTCATGGCTAGCAGACATTGCCCCAAAGCTATGGTGATCACATAATAATGATATCAAAAGTTATTGTCAGCTGTGTGCTGCAGCAGCAATTGTCCTATAATATAATAAGATAACCAACCTTTACAGAAATCTGCTTAAGAATGAAAAACTGTAGGTAAAGGACAGTATTTTTTGGCTCGGGCATATTTTGTGTGACCAGTTACTATGGTACTGCATATTTAAAAAGATTCAGTGGCAGTATGCTTTACTGGAAAGAGGGCAGAGCAAGCTGCCTGCCAAATCCCTTATTCAAAACCAGCAAGAAAATGATGTAATCTTAAACAACATTGTCTCTCTTTTTTAATTAGCTCTGCGTAGTTCTGAATTGCTTCTGAAAAATCCTTGCTGGGTTTTGATCTGTGCTGGACGGAGCCCAGCTGCCTTTCATCAATGCCAGTTTACGTGAGCGCGAGCTGCACACTGCAGCTGAGGCTCTGGGGTTTTGGCAGGTACATGTTTGTTGCAAACTCTCCCAAGTAAAATGTGTTTCTTTCATTCCTAAACACGGTGCCTGTGAGAAGGGTGTGTTTGATTCATTGTTCTGGGACGTTTGATGTCAAGTGTTTCTAATTTCTTTCCACAGAGGTATTAAAATAATGAAACTCTTTTTCAAAGAGCATGTAGCCGAGGAGAGGTGAACAATAGGGAGCGATGGTGGCAGTTGTGGTAGAAGCACTGGCAAGAATTTAAAAAAAACTTTTACTCCTCGTTGGTAACTGTTGTGTCAGTCAGCAGGCTTTAGGTGTATTGAGAAAAAGATTATCATTTTATGAATCTTTACAGCAGATATCTACAAATTGAAGCATACAGTCTGATTGTAGACACTGTTGGCCTATCCCAGCTTTATTCTCATGTCTGCTGTCACACTAAACAATGACCACAATTGGAACAGGAAATCTTGGCCTGGACATCCTTTAGCATTTATCTGAATAACCTCTGGCTAAAACAGAAGCTCCTGAAATGTGGCTGTTGCTTTATTCATTGTTGTAGGAATATAAACTACTTGTTTGGCTGAAGATTGGTCTATGCAGTCAAGGTGTTCACAGGGACATGGTCTGGTTTTGTTTTGTGGCTCCAAATGTGTTTTTGTTAGGGCTTGACTTATGTCTACCAAACTTCATACACTATTGCAAAAACTATTCCTACTAAGGGCGTGGAATGGAGCTGTTTGCTGTAAACATTCAGAGGACACATTAAATGTCAGAGCTTTCATCACATTATTAATCAGCAGGATCTGGTGTTGCAATCTCTGAGGTTTTATTTCCACTCTAATGTCAGGGCATAATAAATGCCAACTCTGTTGAAGTGGGACTGGGTTATGGTATTGGAAGTTGTCAGGCTTCTGTTTGTTCAAATAGAATTATCTGCTAGTTTTCCAAATGGCTGTAAAGGGAAACATTCTGTGTGAAAGTCATAAGGTGCAGATGCCGAACCAGATTGTCATAAGGCAATCCTGGAACCCACTGGCAGTCATCTAATGATGATTTTGCTGTTACTAATGTCTTTCAGCAGACATCAACTGCAGCTAATAATAACCACCTATTAAATATCTTTCTCAGTTTCCTTCTCATAGTCGGAATATAAACAATAACAGTACACGGAAAAGGAAGTCTTGGCCAGAAGGATTGCTAACTGCTGGCTACATCTCAAGCCCCGAAAGTCATCAATCACTCATCAAGGCTAAATCATTACATGATCATTCACAGGTTCCAAGATTTTCTTGTACCTAACTTTGCGTTTGAGAGCTTCTTCTTCATGCAAAATCCAAATTTTCTCCAAAGTTTTAGTTTAACCTAAGATTCTACATAGAAATGTAAAATCTGCACACAGGTGTTCTGGTTTTCAGTGCATTTGTAGTCCGATCTGTATTGACCAATTATGTATTGGCTTTGTTGTGTGCAGGTAAAACAATCCGTTTAGACATTGAACGAACAGGCGCTGGTCCCATCGACAGTACTTTTAAAGATAAAGATAAACTTTATTGATCCCCCATGGGGGAAATTTTTTGCGTTTTATGATGACTTATTTGCCTCTGTAAACAGATATCTGCATAAAAGTGAAGCTAACAATCCATTAAAGAGAAAACACTTAAACTTGAGCATCAAACCTGTTTGACGCTGTGTAGTGAAAGCCAATCAATATTTACATTTACCGACTATCAGAAATGATCAACCCATCCCTCTCCTCCTGAGGACGGACCTGACAAAACTTGACTTTTTACATTCTACAAATCTCCATCATTAGTGTTGTTATTTTGGCAAACTTAAGACCTGTTAATTCGAAGTAAATAACATTTGAAATTGGTTTCTTTTTTACCCCGAGTAAAGGCATTATAGCTTACATTCTACCGTTAAACTTAGACTCAACTGAATGGCCGCTGCTTCAAAAAGTTGGGGACAACAGAATTGATGGCCTTCATGTTTCAGATGTAAATGCCACACAGGAAATAAAGGCTCGCCTGGAAGTTAGTTGACGCTAACCTTATTCACGTCCATTCCCAGAGGCTGACAATGATTGCCGAAGGGTTATGATGAGATTGGTATTAGTTTGGCTCGGAAGTGGATCTTCTGATTAGAACAAGAAGGAGTAGGGGTTGAGTTCTTCACCAAGAAAATGAAATACCACATATTCTACACATTTTTAATTTGAAGCTTCATACAGGGGACGTGTACTGTATATAACTGGACTGTAGCGCACAAGCTTAGCTCAAAAAAAGCTCTTTTAACATAATGTATGACATTTAGTCTGCTTGTTGTAGTGATCCAGTGAAGTATAACTTTGCATCTTCCTTCAACCAACATATTCAAAGCAATTTAAATGTTTTGCATGATTTGATGCAGCAGAGTGTAAAATTAACAGGGTAAGGCCAAGTAGAAGGGCCGAGGGGGAGAATAAAGATTAAATGTTATTTTACCATGTGTGCCGCTGTGTTTGCTTCATGTCTGTGTTCTTTTGTTTTTTAGTCGGTGAACATCAGCTGACGGGCCATAAAGTTGCAGTAAAGATCCTAAACAGACAGAAGATCCGCAGCCTCGATGTCGTTGGGAAAATCAAACGAGAGATTCAGAATCTCAAACTGTTCAGACACCCACACATCATCAAACTGTAAGTAGGGGAAGAGAACAACTGCTTCCTTTCAACACAGATAAGTGCGTTAATCTAGTGGCTGTTTTGGTGTGGGCCTTTTGCTGTGTCTTGTTGTGGCATGTTTTGCTGGATCCTGTTTGTTTACTTCTGCTGAGCTGTACTGAGCATGCCCTCAAGGCTCCCAGGAGGTAGAACACACACACACACACACATGCACACAAAGGCCTGGAGATCGGTTCTGGTTTGTTCAAATCTCCAGTCCAGATTAATTACCGAGTCCTTGTCCTCGTCCAGGTGTCTCTGCACCTCATGTTTTCCTTTCTGACCTTGTTATGTTCCTTCTGTCAGCCTGGTCTCTCTCTCTCATGTCAGTCCACATCTCTCTCTCTCTCTCTCTCTCTCTCTCTCTCCCTCTCTCTCAACAATCTCTGTGTTATTTTTAGTCCAGGGTTAGGGTCGGTCCTCTGGTGCACTGTAAGCTATGGCAGATATGTGAGCTCTCAGGTCCTGAGCTGGACTGCTGTCAGTGGAGCCCTCTGTCTCCGATATATACATTGACTAACACATATATTTAAGGCACATCATGCACAGGCTGGCTGCAGTGTAAAAAAACAGCTGAAGATGTGGCAGGGGCCTGAGCAGAGCAGAATCTGTGTGATATATTTTATATATTTTTAACCAGCACAAAATTAAATGAATCAGAACAAATGTGTCAAAATTTCCCTCAAGCGCTCTCACTGTTTAGATTTCAGAGATAAAGTGAAACAGAGAAAGACCTCATAATACAGTTTGTTTTTATTTGTTTCTCTTTGTGGCTGTGTTGTGCTAAACTCAGCTCGACAGCAGTGAAGTAGATGTTGATAAAGTGCAGAATCTCTCAGGAGCAGCCATTCATGAGATTGAGCCTGTATTATAATATAGCTGACCTTTATGGGAGTAATGTCTGCTCTCAGCAGCCATACATCACCGCTCAGCCTCAGCTGTGTGTGTTTGTTTCTGTGTTTAAATTCTGCGTTGGCTTTAATGTGAAAACATTTGGTTTAGAGATTAAAGGATGAGATTTAAATATATGATTGGTCTGTTTATAGCTATGTTTAAATGTCTGTATGTGATAGTGTCAATGATGCACAGTGACTGTATGTTTGATTTCGTAGGTACCAGGTGATAAGCACTCCTACAGATTTCTTCATGGTCATGGAGTACGTGTCAGGAGGGGAACTGTTTGACTATATTTGCAAACATGGACGGGTAAGAAGACATTATATCTTTTTACTGACTCGTCATCAGAAAGTCTTTGTTCAGATCCAAGATCCAGATTAAATATAGAGTATTTTCACTGTGCACACTTTTACTACATCACCAATATTTAAATCAATCTACTGCATGCTGATGAACAGCTCAGCAATTAAGGAAAGTAATGTCTGCACCCAAGATGTTTCTGAATTATTTTTCTTTTCTTTTCAAATTTAAATTGAGTAAAATACAAATCAAACATTCTCTGAAATCATCTTTTCCGACTCCATGTATTTCGCTCTCCTTAACATTTTCCTTAACAAACTCTTTTTTTTTATTCTTGTACTATTTTAAAACCTCAGGGGGAAGTTCAATGTTTTCACTTAGTTATTGAAACCTTTACTGGCCATAGGGTTATTGACCCTATGGCCATGCCTAAATTAAAAGGCATGGCCTATTAATTTCTTTTAAAAACATATTTTGCAATGATCTAGGTTAGACAATTTTTCAGTGTTTTTGAAGTGGAGTTCTATGAGGTACTTGACATAAGTAAATAAATCAGCCTCCTGCAGTGCACTGCTCAGCTGTTTGTGTCTGTGGGCTTTGAAAGAGACGACAAATAAGATGAATCATAGTCTGAGGTGTTGATACAAATTGGTCCCGTTGCCATGCAACATCACGACTTTACATTTGGAAGATTTGCACAGCACTTCTTCTTTCTGTTAAAAACCACTGACCCTGATTCAAAAATATTTCCATATAGCAGACGTCATGGGTTTTTTTTGCCACCTGTTCAGCGTTGGCTTGCTCGTCATGCTCCTGCTCGTCTGTATCCATGTTGGTCACTCAACCATTTCCACACTGATAACCATGTGTCCATACAAACATGCTGTGCGGGCACACAAACACTGTCGGAGCAGCTGATGGCCATAACTGAACAGACTCCAAACATTCAGAAGAGAGGTAACGTTTACACCCACACTTACTTTAATGGCAAATTGTAGCCTTTTGTGTAGTTATTTAATTGCACATTCTTACGTCGCGATTACAATTAAACCCTTTTCACACATACACCACAAATCTCCTGAAAAATTCCAGAGATTTGGTGCTTTAGGCTATATGTGAATGCAAACAGCCACATTTTTTGAGCAGGCTTCACCCGGAGTTTCTCCGGCCAGACCCCTAGTATTTCTTCCGCAGAAAGTCCGAGCGAGCTGATGTGAGTAAGCAGCAGCATATACTCCGGAGGATTCAACTCGAGCCAATTACGTATTGATTGATTGACAGTGCTCGAACAAAGTGGCTTGCTGACGAAAAAGTAAAGCGCATGTAACAGACTCTGTTGCTTCGTCCTCTACTTCTGCCTAGTTTTTTTACATCACATCTTACCTCAGGAGACCCCCCGCCCATCTAACAGGGACAGTCTCCAGCTGTGAGAAGCATACAGTATGTGAACAGCCAGGTTGGGAGAATCTCTGGAGCAGTACTCCCGAAATGATCTAGATTCTACTACTGGGCCACAGCCGCCCCTTACCAGGCTTTTAAAAAGTCTTTCCAGGCTTTGCAAACAGTGGCAGCAACACAGTGTGTGTGGTCGTCATTGGTTCTCTACCTTATGTCGGTAAAAAACACAAAGAAACAATCTCATGCTGTTTTTTAGCTGGTGTTTATAAGGCATGGTGTTTTCCATGAGTGCTGTTACACACAGAGCTCAGCAGAATTGAGGAAAGATGCCGACTTAGAAAACAGATTATAGCGTCAGGCATCTCTTTGCTGCATACAAGCATAGAAACACATATACCAGATAGAACTGGCCCAAATACTCATACAGAATAATTTTTTTTGATAAAGGGTGTGGGCACATTTGTGTTTTTCTGAATTCATTTTGACTCTAAATCACTCTTTTGGGCACATTTAAAACTTGTAATCAAACCTAACACTGGAGTATTTTTTTCTCACCAAAATATTGACTTTTCTCCTGCTAAACCTTTGTGCACACTTCAAAGTGATGTGATCTCTATTTGAGTCATGAAAACTTTTCACATACCCCATCACTGCTCCACCAGTCTAGCTGAGAGCTGTCAGTGACTTTAAGTGTTGCAGGCAGACACTGACAGCTGTGCAGAGTAGACTGTCTGGAGACTCACTTTATTTCTTCTTACCAGTATAATCCTTCTTGAACTTCAGCTGGCCCCTGAGCTCAAGAAACCTTACGAGCTAACAAGACACTAGCTTTGTTTTCTGGCATGCATTATAAGCTTGTAAAACTGTGTTGTACACATTTACATCTGAGGAAAACTGCACAGTCCAATCATGTCCTTTTATGTTTTGTCTTCCAGGTGGAGGACACAGAAGCTCGCCGTCTCTTCCAGCAGATTATCTCAGCTGTGGACTACTGCCACAGACACATGGTGGTCCACAGAGACCTCAAACCTGAGAACGTCCTGCTGGACGCCAGCAAGAACGCCAAAATCGCAGACTTCGGTAAGATGCCCAAACAGCTGAAGGGGAGGACAAAAGGAAATTAAAAAGAGAGGCAGTGTGAACATGAGATAATGTGTTCAAAGGAAAGAAAGAGGTAGAGCTGAGTGGAATCCCAGAGAAAGGTCACAGTCTGATTAAAGAGGAATTCTGCTTTTTACAGAGTTTAATTGTACACCTAATCATACACCTGTAGAGAAGCGTAAAATCCCTATGTACACCTGTTAACCTTCTTGTTAAATGAGAATGACTTCCTTATTGAGCACAGCTTCTAAGCAGTTTTGGCACATTTAAAAAGACACTGTGTCTGATGCAATAGGACCATGAAACGGAGAAATATTTCCAAAAGCACACAAAGGCCCTCTGCACAGCAGGGAGTGAGGAGTGGAGAGAGAGGTCTCCCAGCAACAGCCAGATCTCATATCATGTCTGGCAGGAAGCCTTGAGACCCGGAGTCATCTGATAGGAAGGATTGGTGGGGGTGCAGCAGCGGGAGAAGTGTTTTGGCTGAGAGCAGCAAAGAGAGGGGGGTGTTAAGAGAACATGGATAAAAGATAAAGAGAAGGTCAGCACATCACGCAGTGTCTGGTGTTCAGCGTTTGGCAGAGGAGCTCATCCAATTAGACCAGCTTTGTGTTCAGAGATTAGAGACTTGGAGGGTAAAGGAGGATAAAGATATCAGTGATGTCCACTGTGTAACGCCCCCTGTGTAGGGCCATGTTCAGTTTAACCCGTGAACTACAGGATCAATAACAGTAATGATAACAGAGCATTGTCTTATTAGTCAGTTTAGACTGACAGGCGTTTATATGCCCTGTGTTTTGATTGACAGGTCTGTCTAACATGATGTCAGATGGAGAGTTTCTACGTACGAGCTGCGGCTCACCGAACTACGCTGCTCCAGAGGTCATCTCAGGAAGGTGTGTCTTTTTGTTTCTTAGTTGTCATGTCTGACCAATGCTTTATGATCATAATTATTTAGACCCAGAGGACAACTATTTAATCACCAATCCTTACTTAGCCGAGAAACAAATAGTGTCATGCTTATTCCCTGACTTTTGCACAACCCATCATAATATATTTACATGAAGGGCATTGAATGAAATCCATCTACACGAGATAGAGGGAAGAGAAGAGTTGCCCTGTTTGTTTTTGCGATATTAAGAGCCCATTTTAAATGTCTTCTTCAACTTATATTTTACCATCTTCTCTTAATTTCATCAATATCTTCTTGTTTTACAAGCGGCATTTTCTCTCCCATATCGTGTTTCTTTGTTATATTCAGACTTCTTCTCTGTAGCTTGAAACATATGCTTATTTGCCTCTTCAACTAATACCTAATGAAGTGTTACTCACTTCACTCACTCTCTGTTGGTTTCATTGAGGCCCACAGACACCTGAGTTGTAGTAAGATTGTCCAGAAATGTTCTCATATGTTTTCACTTGTATCACTTTCTTTTAAGAAAAGATGTGAAAGGAATATAGACTCAAAAAAAGGCGACTAACTGCCTGACTTAAGGTGCTCGTTATTGACAAAGGTTCTTCTTTTCTTAACACATATTTCATACTATGCCTCAGGCTACCTTTACTTTTTGAAATTGAAATATGACTTCCTTTCCAAGGTTGGGATTGTTACATTGAACAAAGTTGTTTAATTACCTCTTTCTGTCTTTTAACATTTAGTAGTTGTCCAGAATTTTGTAGAAATGTTCATGTTCTCTCCCAAATAACAGCCGAGACTCCCCCACACTCTCCTCCTTCAAGAAATCCCTCAAAACTCACCTCTTCATCTCTGCCTACAACCACTAACTCCCCCCCCACATTACTTCTTCATTGTGATGTCCGCGTCGTTTTTTGTTTTGTTTTATTGTTTTATATTTTTGTCAAAGTGTCTTTGAGTTTTCAGAAAAGCGCTATATAAAACCAATGTTTTATTATTATTATTATTATTATTATTATTATTATTATTATGGGTTGATATGTTTAAAAGGGCTTTTTTGTGTTAATTGTCCCATGTTGTCATCTCTCTGTCAGGCTGTATGCCGGTCCAGAGGTGGACATCTGGAGCTGTGGGGTGATCCTGTATGCTTTGCTGTGTGGCACTCTGCCCTTCGATGACGAACACGTCCCCACGCTGTTTAAGAAGATCAGAGGAGGAGTCTTCTACATCCCTGAGTACCTGAACCGCTCTGTGGCCTCTCTGCTCATGTTCATGCTGCAGGTGGACCCTTTGAAGAGGGCCACCATCAAAGACATCAGGTGCTCACCCTGATCTGACGAGTCAAATGACCGCTACAGAGATTTTACAGTAAAAACTTGACAGCAGTTTGAGGTGACTGATTGTTCTCTCCTCTGTCAGGGAGGATGAGTGGTTCAAGCAGGACCTGCCAGGCTATCTATTTCCTGAGGACCCCTCGTATGATGCCACAGTCCTGGACGAGGAGGCAGTCAAAGAAGTGTGTGAAAAGTTTGAATGCACAGAGTCAGAGGTCATGTCCAGTCTCTACAGCGGGGATCCACAGGTACAAAAGACACTTTGTTTGAAGGGCAAAACACTGCAAGTTGAATGGAGCTTGCATGTCAAATTTAGAGTGTGAATGTTTATTTCAATGTATGTTTTTTGGAAACATAGTTGGGGTCGTAATTGTCCCAGGAGAACTCTGAGAGTATAACTAGAGAAAAGAGTGCACTGTAAGGATAAGTAAGGAATTTTGATTGTGGTCCTTTTAGGGCTGGATAATTATGGTAAAATTGTTTTTTGAGGGCTGGCTTGGCTATCCCAAATATAAAGCTGGGCAACATGATAGCATGCACAGTCAGAAAGTTGTTGGTTCATCAGGTGGAAAAGTGACTTTTTTTAGTTTGTTGATAAAGTTAAAGGATTTGAATTGCTGCTAAATTAGTCTGCTCTTCTTTAATTGCTTCATTTGATCATTCTTCCTGCTCTATCCATTAGACTCATGTAAGAGCTATATCCTTAATCTCTCCTATCTGTGCAGGATCAGCTAGCAGTCGCCTACCACCTCATTATTGACAATCGGCGCATCATGACTCAGGCCAGCGAGTTCTACCTGGCCTCCAGTCCTCCTCAGGGCTCCTTCATCGAAGAGGGCATGCCGCTGCCCCCCGGGGTCAAACCCCACCCAGAGAGGATGCCCCCGCTCCTGGCCGACAGCCCAAAGTCTCGCTGTCCTCTGGATGCTCTGAACACCACCCGACCCAAACCGCTGGCTGTGAAGAAGGCCAAGTGGCACCTGGGCATCAGGAGTCAGAGCAGACCCTACGACATCATGGCTGAGGTGTACAGAGCCATGAGACAGCTCAGCTTTGACTGGAAGGTGACAAGGAACATGCTTCATATTCACATGTTCACAGTGCATTAGTACTGTAGGTCTACTAAATTATAAATTGTTTGTCATACTGTGTTGTAGGTTGTGAACCCGTACCATCTGAGAGTGCGGAGGAAGAATCCAGTGACAGGAAACCTGGTGAAAATGAGCCTGCAGCTTTACCAGGTGGACAACAGATCCTACCTCCTCGACTTCAAGAGCATCGATGGTCAGTAACCTACATCAGCTCTGCTGCAAGACAAATACATTCCTCGATACAATATCATCCACTTAGTAATATGAAACAACATACAGGACTCTAAGTCAGTGCAGGGACCAGAACTCTGCAGTTCAGTTTGTCTCTATAAAATATGTCAATCTGAAATCTGCTTTTCTGAGTTTGAACAGCTAAGTATTGTAGATGGCAGAGTAGACTTTGAATACTTTGAGGATTCTTATAGAATATTTAAATTGTCACTTTATTTTTGAGTATTGATGAATAATAGGTACAAAAAGTGTTGGAGTTGGTTCAGTCAGTCACTTGTTTCATCCCGCAGCAGTGAATCTTTGGTGACAACTTGAAATGAGAGCATGTTTACTTAATGTTCCTCTTTGGATCAGCTCTTTTTCAGCAGATTTTTCGTTTTGTTGTTGTGATTGATCAGCATCTCCTATGATCTGTGAGGGCGTAAGACCCCCAAAAAATGGAAAAAGGGACCTAGGGTTTAAAAATACCTCCATTCCCCTGTACAATTTCTCCCAGAGATCAACATTCGTAAGTCACATAAAGCCCCCTTATGCATATTCAGTTGCCTATCTTCTGTCTTGATTGCTAATTTTGTATTTAGCTAAATAAACATCAAATGGCACATAGAAATAAACAAGACTTCATGTTGTGCTTTAACACTGCATGCTCAGTCACATATGATGCTAGCTCTTCTTCATTTTTGTTGTTTTGTTCATCAGGAACTTTTTTGTGCCTCTGCCTTTGTTGGCCAGGAAAACGTATTTTACTCTTTTGAGTTTTCTCGTCGTTAAATAAAGGTTTGAATTGAATGGAGCTGAAGCCTTGACAAACAGCATCCATTTCATGATAAATAACATAGCAGTCCGAATTTATCTAAAAGATCCTCTTCTGCTACTGTGATCCTCAGATGACATCATCGAGGCTGTGGGCTTTAAATCGGGGTCGTCCACTCCTCAGCGGTCGGGCTCCACAGCCGGCCTCCTCAGACCCAGACTGAGCATCGACTCGTCCAGCCCGGCGATGGACCTGCCCACACTCAGCTCCTCCCTGCCCGGGTCTCTGTCTGGGAGCTCCCCTCAGCTCACACCGCGACAGGGATCACACACCATGGACTTCTTTGAAATGTGTGCCAGTCTGATCACCACACTGGCTCGCTGACACACTCCTGACCTCACTGTAACCTGATGTCTGAGGGGGTTTCAGCCTTTGTCTGATCTGGAATGAAGGAGCGAAGATGTTGTGAATGACTTCCTCTCTCTGTCTTCTTTTCATCTCTGATTCGGTCGTATTGAACTGGAGGGATGAACAGAAACGTCAAAGTACCGCTTGTCACTTCAGATTAACGGAGACACAGAGAAGAAGCCTTTCTCACAGAGGCAGATCAACAGCTTCTTTTTCCTCGTTTTGACACAGTCCCTCGGGTTTACACATCAGGCTGCAGCTTGTGAAAACTGATCCTGGGGCTTGAAATTTGGGAACCAGAAAAGTTAGAAGCTAGAGCTCAAAGTTCACATTCATGTGGGAGTCAGCAAAGGTCAAGTTGTCACTGTCACTCCTCCCTCGAATACCTTCAATCTGTTACCACTGCTGAAGTATCATCGCCAAACGTCACATGTAAAGGTCAGTGTGTAAGATTTAGTGAATAAAATGGGTTCATAATTATGTTTTTATTTGTATTTTATCACCTGAAAATATAATATTTTTCTGTCAGCAGAGCATCCACAGACCCTGCTTTGATGAAATGTAATGTTGCAGGCAAAGAGCGAGCCTGCAGTGAGTCTGCAGGTTAGAAAGTGAAAGGTGAAGGGAGTGGTGATCATCTGGTTGCTACTAGTGCCGGGCCATCAGTAGATTTTATTGGAGAATTAGCATTAATGGATTCATTATTTTATTTAACTCGGGCTCCCCTGAAAGTTGAAGAAACATATCAGTTGAGAACCCTGTTAGTCCTGACAGCTACATTTATTTTATTTTCTAGGCTTGGATTATTTGTTAAAAGTTCCCGAGATATGTACCAAGAGCAATATCATCCAAAGATGTCAAAAACTCTATGAACAGAAATAATGTAGATGTGATTCAACGACACTGATGCCTGTTTTGAAACAACAAACATAGAAGTCATAGCCACAATGTTTTGGGTACTTTCTTTTTGTTATGATGACCAAAACAAAGAGACTCTGTGGTTCAAATGTATCTCAGTGTTCCTCAGGCTACAGAGAAGCTGCTCCTTGTTTTTGATAATTTTCTTCCGCTAATGGCTCATCTGAGAATATCGTTTTAAGTGACAGAGAAGTAAATTAAACACAAAGAGAGAAATCAGCCTGAAAGGATTTAATGCCATGTCAACACTCACCAGATGTGTTTTCAAAAATCTGACTTTATTTGTATAGTGCCCAGCCGTAGTTGCAATCACAAACCTCACCACTAGATGTCACTAAGTCTTACACACTGCTCCTTTAACGACGGGAAATCCTGCTGAGTTTTCCTCAGATCAGAGGTCAGTTATTATTCACTATCAAACTTTATCTGAAGGAATGTCAACATGTACAATTTGATTTCAGGTTTTATATTCTATATAGTTTATAAAGAAACAGCTTTTTGTTATCCATGTGTATTCTATTTATATTACAATCATGTTACGTAGCTGAAGAGGTTGACAAAGAGATACCAAAAAAAGAGACTTTATACACCACTATTAAGATTATTACTTAGAGATCAGAGCCATATTTATTTTTCAGAGATGATTTTGTAGGCACTGCAGTGATTTTATGATTTAAACACTGCATTAACAGAGTTTAATTTGAGTTTTTATAGACAGTAGAAGAATAAAGGAGATCGAGAATGCAGGACGATAAAGACTGTGTCCTGTTTGTAGTGATGAAGCAGAAATACACACCGTCTCACATGAGTGTTTACAAATATCCCATCATCCCTGCATACCTTACATATCGTCTTAACGTTGTTTTATTAAATCAGTAACATCGAGTCAGAGATATGCAACTCCTTCATTAAAGACTGAAGCAACTGTAAAGAAGCTGCTCTCAGTCTGCTATATATGCAGTAACCTTTTTATTATCGCCATAAGCCTTTAACATTTGGAGGATGTTTATTATCGTTTAGAGCCTCATGTAAACACTTAAAACCCTGTTTATTTAATATTTAAATTTCTATATACAAGCAAGCAAACCTAAAGTAAAAGTAAGAAGGAAGTGAATGGAACAACAAACTACTCGACAAGTCAATCAATGAAAAAGAAAAATCAAACAACAAAAATAATGATTCCTGTTTCAATAGAAATAGAAGTCCAGTCCTCGATATTGGGTCATTTCTTATTTTTAATGATGAAAAATGTCAGGCAAATGCAAACAACATTAACAGAGAGGAGTTTGTCTGAAATGTTTGATGGATTTACTCCTCTCTATCTTATGAAATAGATGGGGTTTTTTCAAAGTTTCATTATATTGCTATTCGATCGATCAGAAAATTAACCGATTGTATAAATTTAAAACTCCTGGTATTGAAAAGTATCCATGAATAGATTATTTGGACTAGCTTACTTGTAATGCACTCGATATGAGAACAGAGGAGATGCCGCTTTCATATAGAGCTGAAACAATTCATGGATTCATCCATCAAAAAGAAAATGAATCACTAAGATTTTAAAATTGTTTCAGGGATTTTTAAGCACAAATGTTAATTATAAATGGTTCTTGCTTCTGTAATGTGACAACTTTGTGCTTTTCTGAGTCATTCATGACGGTAAACGAAAAGTTAGACAAAGGAAGCAACTTGAAGATGTTACATTAGTCTCTAGCTTTAATTAACTCAGTCTTTTAATATTTCACAACCTACACAGTCAAAAGTTGAATCCTAAAAACAACCTGCAGATTCAGTGTCAGCTCTTGTTACCTGTGGGACGGTGTGTATCTGCTGCAGGACACTTAAAGCCTCAGAAACCTTCCTCCAGTTGCCTTAAAGACTGCGACTCAGTCGTTTTGTGCAGGTGTTTATGAAGAGTGTGTGCGTGAGCCGCTGTGTGTCTCAGAGTGTGTCACAGGATTTTTTATGCTTCTGGTTTGTCGGGGGGGGGGATCTTTGACGGTGGAGAAGAGGGTAGGATGTGATTCTCTGGGTTTTGAAACTTGTTGTCTGCGTTCAGTCTGCACTTTAAAACTCATTTTCTGCTCCGGCAGTTTTTCAGATTTTCTCTTTTCTGCATCACAGTCTGTGTGAGAAACACAAACGTTACTGTAGCGGCCTCTGCTCCTACGTCGTGCTATGACTTTATAAATGTTCTACACTCTCCTGTCACATCAAACCAGAGCTGGTGGTGCATGGCTGCTGGTGAGTTTTGATGAGTTTTTCTGACTGAATGTGAAGTGGAAGCTGATGCTGCCGGGTTCTGTTCTCTCTGTTTTAAAGCAGAGCGATGGACTGTTGTCTTTTTTTCATTCTTTCAGTGAAACACAGAAGCTGGAGGGGGAGTTAGTTCTCCACTTTAGACTGGTGCTGCAAAAAGAAAACCCCAACATGGCCAAAATTTAATATGTTCAGTATTCTCATTACGTTCACCTTTAATTCATGCCAGTTGAGCTGAAAGTGATTTTTCAGAAGCCTTTCGGACGTTTGCTGGGCTTTTCTGGCAAAGCTCTAGGTCCGTGTAAGATGCACATTTACCCAAAATTACCTTTTCTATCGAAGTACATACCCTGTAAAATAATAGCCTTTATTAAATTATATATCTTGGTGCCAAGATTGTAAAGCTATCTGGAAGTTGTGATTCATTTAGTTGAATATTTTTGGCTTGTTGCAGCGCTCTGCAAGTTTTGAGCGTGATTCTGTGTCCGTCGATGTACACAGGTCTCCTGAAAGATTCATAAAGCGAAACGGGGATTTGTGGCTTAAAAAGCAGCATGAACAAACAACTTATAAGAATAAAAAGCTTCACATTCTGTTATCTGTTTAATAGAGCTACGATGTGTAACTTTTCCTCCTTAGAATAGTTGTTTCTAAGGTGGATCTAATAAAACAATAACTTTCAACGGGGAGAATGGCGTCTCTCTCATGTCCACAAAGATCTCCGGTCGCCTCTTTATAGCACGATGTAACTTTGGCAGTGAGCCGAGTTCATCTCGTGAGAAGTACATACAGCTTTACAGCACTAGTTCACACAGCAGCCTTCAACTAAGAACAGCCAGTTAGCCCGTCTCTACTGTTTGATACAATGACTGAGGCTAAGAGGAGAAAAAGAGAGCGTGACCGAGTAAGAAGCAGAGATTATTCAGAACAGCTTGAGACGTAACTTTAGGCTGTATCATTATCAATGTCATCGTAGTCTCATGTTTAGCAGCTTTATCGGGTGCAGAAAAACATCTAACCCACATTAATCTCAGGTTTGAATACAAATAAATAAATCCTTTTAATGCCAATAGTTTTCTCTACAACGGGCTGTAGTCGCCAACAGAGTCATATTTGGGCAAAATATTAGCAAACAATACTGAACCTTGTCAGTCGTCATAGTTCTTTGACCTCTAACAACACCTCCCCTGTGCTTTTCAACAGTACTGTGTGTCTTATGACTGTGTAGTTACACTTGGAGACCTTCGGTTGGCGCCAATGCACACCAAATCTACGTCATGTAAATTGAATACAAAGAGTTGTGAGTCAATGGACCTGCATCAGGAAAGCTTTCTATCAGGAGGGGGGGGACCAGATGACTCTGTTAGAGTAAATAAAACATGAGCATGCAGATTCTTTCATGACTCCAAAGCGTTAGGTAACGTTTTGTTGGAAGAATTGGGCCATTTAAGCACATCAGTCCGAACCAGCTTTTGTGTTATCATCTGTTGGACCTACAATAACCTGCTGTCACAGTTTGGAATGGATTCAGTCTGTCCTGCCTTATGTGATCATTGTGAAGGCTTCTGTCTGAAACTCTGCTCTATCCCTTTATTATCACATGTGTTGTGTTCTGTGTGTGACGCCACAAACACCACAGAATGAACTTTAAATTCAGGGGGAAACTCTGCCCCCCCCCCCCCCACACGCAACTGCACACCCCCACTTTTCTGTTTTTGTGTCTTAAACGTCTGTCCTCTGTACACTCAGCTGTGTCGGCCACACCTGAAACATTATGCATTCATTCTGCTGCTGAGACCACAGTCTGAAATAATGATCAATACGGTGGTCCTTCAGAGGTCACAGGTCGTGTTTAAAACTCCTGATATATCCAGTATTTACTGTCAGATGTAGTACTGTTACATAACAACTGTATGCAGCTACCAGTGGCATGTTAGTGTGTAAACTCTGATCTGTGTTTGAGGCTGGAAACATGCCGGAGGGCCTGAACAAACCGTGTCGTACCAAAGTGAGTGTTTCCACAGCGAATCTGAGCTCTCTGTTAATCTGTGGGGGTTCTTATGATCAATGTAACCTTATACACCCCTGAGTGACAGTGTGTGTGTGTGTGTGTGTGCGTGTGTGAATGAGAGAAAGGTGTATGAAGTTGTGTTTTAGCGTGTGTGTCGGCTGACTGTCCTCGTCTCTTGTCTGTCTGTTTGGGGTTTGGACTTCTCTTGTTATGCACTGCATGATATTGCTGTTATGATTTGCACTTTAATGAGTATTTATTGAAAAACAATAAACCGACATACAAAAAGGAAAATGTTTCTGTCTATTTGGACATTCTACACACACACACACACACACACACACCTGTCACAGAGGATTCTTTTTTGTGTTTTCTTTTTCAGGCAATACAGTATTTTACATATTTTTTTTAAAACCTCCAGTAATCATCAAACAACTTCCTCCTTCTGTAATACTTGTTAGAGTAACACCTGAACACATCTGCTCAGTAAAAATGAAAGTAAGAAAAACAGTCTATGGATGATGTTTCCAAGCAGGTGCAGCCATGACCAATATGTTACACTCCATGTTGTTTCTTTGTACACCGTTTACAATATTATATTATTCTGATATGTGATCAGAAAATTACACTTTTTTTTTTAACTCTGGCGCTCCATTGTTACATATTATTGGACCTAAATGAGCTAAAGGTACAATTACTCTTTTAGACTGCTTCAGCCTGCAGCCTGCAGTACACCGGCTGTAATGGATGCAAAGTTTCCAATCTGAATAAATGCACTGATTAAAGTGCTTCCACTAAAAGTTACTGTGTACGCAGATGATTATTTTTATTTTTTATTTTTTTACCAGAAACAGACATTTTCTTTCATTCAAAGCAGCCAAACTCAAAAGACAAAAACAGTCATTTTACCCCACTGGACACAGAAGCTGTTGGTCTGCTGCTACCTGGATCTGTTTACATGTGGTGTGTATTCGTTTCCATGGTTTTATTTATTGATTATACTGTGGAGGGCGCTGAATGTTTGCAGCACTTGGGGTCCAGGACAAATTATCCCAAGGTGAAAATAAAGTATAAAATACTGTGTCATGTCGTATCGTGAATAAACTGACTGATCAAGGAAGCACTAGCTGAGCAACTTTGAAAAGAGTGATGTAACAGCTGTTTGTGGTGAAAAAATAATCTGCTGGGGTGCAGGTGGCGCAGTGGTTAGTGTGCGCCCCATGTGCGGAGGCAGTCCTCCTAAAGGCATAAAAAGCCCAAAAATAAATCTTTAAAAAAAATCCTCTTTCTCTTGAACAAAAAGGTCTTCCTCTGCAGGAAACCCACTTAGAATAACAATCTGAGCCTGTCAGGGACAAAAACAACGTCTTTTAGTGGACTCATTACCATTGCGCACATTTTCTTGAAAAATGATGGTTGGATTGCAGCCACTACAACCAGTTTCCAGGCTTCCATATGAGCATTAAAACTTTCTGTACATTTTTGTTGAAAGTCCCTAAATACATAGAAATTCAGCAATTCCCCTTTAAAAAAAAAAGATCAGCTTTTAAATACTATCACATCAGTAGTTTCTTATAACAATAACATCTGCAACGATTTCCAACAACAAGGGGAGAGTAAATAAAAGTAGAAAAACATGCTTGTGCACAAAGACAGCTCAACAATACAATAAGTTGACTAATATCAGATAAGAGGTGAAGATGTTGTTGGAAACACTGTAAATCAGAGTTGTGTAGATGCACATGTAGACGAGGAGTGAAGAGAGCAGGAGATACATGAGAACAGATCCCATCACGTGAGCTATTATTACTACTGTAATCAAACCATAACATGTTGTTTTCTATATTTACCAGATATATTACTGTTTCATTCTTTGCTACCAACACTGTAAACTGGTAACAGGTATGTACACCAGTTAGGAGTCTAAAAACAGCCGTATGCAGACTCCGTAAATATTCAGAAGCTGATCACTTCTGGTTTATTCTAACCGAAGTGTAAGTCTGATCCTCAGGCTCGATAACGACCTTTTACTGCAGACTGAAAAATGTTTATTGATGCATTCTCCGAGTGTCTGTGTGTGTGTGCTGTGTTTTCCTCAGGATTCAAACAAATACTCTGTTCAGATAAAAGATCTGCTTTATCCTCCCTCTATTCCCCCCGTTCTGAACAAATCTGCCTTTATGGTATTTACATGGGAAGTGAGAAACTTTCTCCACAAGAGCCTCGAGGACGATTAGAGGCTCTCGTGTCTGCAACAATGTGTGAGTCCTCTCCAGAGATCAATAGTTCACATGGTCCAATATTCAAAGTCACTCAGAGTCGGCAGGTAAACTGTCTCTCTCTGGTTTCACTCTGAGAGCTGCAGAAAGACAGCTCTGTTTGCACAGAAATCCCTTTATGCACATCATACTGATCCAGAACTGCAGTCAGCGGGTGAAACAGGTCAAAGTTGTAGGAAAATGAAGTTACTGGCACAGTCTGATGTGACTGACACACGTCACAGTATGAAGAAGACGCCACAATCAGACGGTTTCCTCTGCTCGCCTGCAAAGAAACAAACAAACGTGTCAGTTCGTAATGCTCACAGTCAGAACGTTTACACACAGTTGGAAAAAGTTGATACATCATGTCAGTCTGACTAAGACTGGACTTCATGTAAACATATTAGTCTGGCTGAAATCGTACCAAATCGAATTTCTTGAAGTGGGACTAACACACCCGAGCTGTTTTCACATGTGCACTCCTGAAGAAAATATTTAGATAATTTCAGTTAGACTGCTCTTCTGATCTGGCTGTCCACACATGCAACTCACAGCAGGAGACTAGCTCTTTTTCAGGTGAGAGGGAGGCCGGGGCGTAAAAAGAACGATGCGGAACGGACGAAGCAACACAGTAGATAATGTGGTTGGGGGTCAATTTACTCTTTCATCGAAACACCTCAATCAGACCCAAACAGGATTAGGCCTTCTGCATGCCCCACGGTCCACGAGTCAGGCTTTCAAGTTCTGAAACGACTCTTTCACAACAAACTGTTGCATAATACAACTATCAAGAAAAAAACTAAAGGAGCTTTGCTGGAGTTGAGGCACAGTCTCTGGTATTCAGTCTAACTTCAAAGTTCAATGACATGTCACCAGAATGATCTACTATTGTTCTGGTTGTGCAAACACAGACTGTGATCCTTAGGGTGTCACAATGTGTGTGTATGTAAGAATCTACATCTAGCAGTGTAGCACATGTATTAGAGACAGTATGAATTTATCATTTGGTTTGATAAAGACTTTTGCAGAGGATACAACTCTTTTTTTTTTGCTCTGAGCCCGCCAGAAGCCTCCTTCCTCCTCATCTTCTACTTAAGGTGCATTATAGTGACTAAGAGGATGCCAATGAATGCATGTTTATGAACATCACCCAGAGTCCAGCTGAGTCGCCCTTACCTTTCAGTTGTGTGAATTTCTCCACAGTCAGTTAAGCATAAAGGTCAGGAGGAGGTAAAATTAACAAAGCATTTGGATCAAAGACCACTTCCTCTGTGGTGTTAGCTTCAGCTTCAGGCCTGAGGGGGGAAAACACACATTTACCATCACTTCACCCGTTCTCTTCCCTGGCTCATGTTCCCCAGATATCAGTGCAGGAGGTGCATCTATGTTAGTTAAGAGTACCAAGAAGAACCAACAGGGTAACCTCAGTTTAACCAAGAATATGACACCATTAAAGAATGTTAAAACACACACACACACACACACACACACATAGCATAACAAAGGCTGATTCCCCCAATTTTACTTCCTTGTCTGAGGGAATATATTTTGGCTGTCTGTTTCCCTCAGACACAAAAAGAATATACAACACAGACTCTGTTCATGCTTATGAACCCATTCAGGGCAAAAAGGTCGGAAACGTGTTACACAACATGTTTGGCATTTCTTTTTTTTTGTGTCTGTGGGTCAACTTACACAGGAGCTGCTTCCTCCTCTACATGACCTGAGGAAATACAGAAAATATTTTCAATAAGCATGTTTGATATATATCATGTAATTTTATCAAGTATTTCCTTAAGTCTACTTAAGATAAAAGCTCCTTTAAATTTTTACTACGGTGTAAAAAAAGTTAGATTTTTCAGGCGTCACTCACTTGTCTCTGGTACAGTGCTGCTGTAGGGAAGAAGAAGCAAAAATGAAAACCCAGTTTATGTGTGATTGCGTGTGTGTGTGTGTGTGTGTGTGTGTGTATGAGTTTGTGTTGCATGACTACCTGGCAGCTGGCTCCACAGGTTTAGGCGAGTGGAAAAATGTGGCCAACTTATGAAGGGCTTCATGTCTCGCTCTGATAAAAAAAGACAAACACAGATGTACTTCACTGTGTATCCACACTCTGCTTGTGTGTGTGTGTGTGTCTGTGTGTGTTCAGTGTGTGTGCTGGTACACTCACTGGACTTGTGTGCCGTCTGGACTGATGTCACTGCGACTGTGCTGGTGGTTCACATTCAGGTCTTTGTTTCCTGAAAAAGGACAGATTTATGAGACACACTCACCTGCTGCATGAATTCAAACATGAAACCAGAATCTGCTGTTAAACACTCTAAGAGTTACATTTTACTGTTCACACAGACTTCTTATCTAATGACAAGCAGCTGTGGTTCAAGGTTAAACTGTCTTTAAATCTTCATTTCAGCACCGTTGAATATTTTGGTTTTAGAACAGGAAAAAAAAAAAAAATTTGGAAAGTAAATTGGGTCTTACCCATGTCGGGCATGGAGAGCGCCCTGGAGTGACCTCTGCAGAGAAGAAGAGATTCATGTAAAAAAAAGCTGACATTCATACTGCTGCTAATGGTCTCTGTCTTACAAAATCAATAATGTAAATTAAAAAGAGAAGCAGTCTGACATGTTCATGCTAACATTGACTCACAGTGAAGCCAGAGGATCTGTCATGTTGTGGGGAGGAGAGAGAGGCTCATCGTCATCACCGGTCCACTCCTCGCTGTCGTCATCTGTGACTGAACACACACATAATAAAAGTGCTAAACAATCGTTTCAATACAAAATGTTTATCATAAAAATGAGAACAGGAGGATACTTACAGTGGTCATTTGACAGCGGGTAATGGTTTGAAGCTCTGAGAAAAAGAGGAAAAACTTTAAATGATCACGTTTTTTAACCAGACATTGTAATGAATAAAGTGTTTACTGTTCACACACACACAAATGCGCACACGTGCACACACACACACACAACATATACACACACCTGTTCCCCGTTCCGGTCCCGTCCAGCTCGGTCACATCATTGTTGTTGTTGTTCTTGCGGCTGATTGCAGCTTTCTTCCCCAGCGCCAACATTTCCTGAATGTCCAGCTCCACATGATCTACAGCAACGTACCCGTCTGCAACACACACACTCCAGGTCTTAATGCTCATGAAGTCTCTGTGCAGACGTTTTCTACCCGATATAGATCTATATTTTCACATTTGACTTTGGATGAAGGAGGTAGACGCTGATGGTTTCATTACAGTGAAGCTCCACTGAAGTGTGTTCATACAGTATGTTCCTTCATTAACAGGTAAGAAAAATCATTGTTTTTTCAAATGTTTTTTAAAACTATATATAAGTATCCTTCTTCTTCCTCAAAGCATTATATTACCCTTGAAGTTGATAAACTACAAGTTCAAGTTCTTTATTTGTTGCTAGCACATCAGTCACAGAGAAGCACACTTTGTTCTCTTCCATGAAGAGTGCTGTGTGACAAGAAATTCATGCAAAGGGAATTAGAATGATGGACCGAAAGCATCAAAGAATATTGGACTCACAGTTGTTGCTGCTGTCTCTGGCCAGCCATTTTCCTTTGGGGCAATTGGTCGTTCGGATGATGCTGATGACATCACCATTGTTTACGGGCAGATCGTTCTTGCGCCCCTTGTTTGTGACGGTTACTTTAGCCTCGTACATGGCGTCCTCCTGTCCTGTGACCTGAAGACACAACAAGAGTGTGAGTTTGTGCAAATACAAATAAAAATAAGGAAACCTTTCTGCAGCATCAGGATAATCACAGGTTTGATTGGCCAGTAGTAGCTCCGTCTGTGTTTAAGTCCCATTCATAGACTGTATATAAACATGGAGGAAGCCTGAGTGACCGATTGGTATATGAAGGATGCTTGGAAGCTAGTTGATGGCACCCGCCATGCTGGAAACGCACTCTTAACTTAACTTTAACTCACACTAACACAAGGCTAAGAGCCCGAGCTGGGGCGGGTTTTGATGGTATGTTCAATTTACCTCAGAAGTTGGAGCTGGGAATGTCAAACCTGAGTTGACTGTGTTTCAGTCATAACTCTGTAACAAGTTGGAAAAGCAACATGGACGCCTCCAAGAGTACCTTTGTTGTGTTAGCTCAAACCAGCTTACATCAACACACACGTTGCGAAAGCGAAATGGCATGTCCACAGTTAGAACTTGCACAATACTATCAGTGTGATTGATTTAATTACATAAAAAAAGACTAAGTTGCTTATAAACCCTACAATTTTCAGCATGTACTTTACTCTTAATGCACAGAGCAACCATAGTGGATTTAGAGCTCGGCTTTCTGAAGTCCCTTCAAGTTTCTGAGTCGGAGTTTCAACTTCAGGGGGCGTTTTGGATGCAGTCACTTCTGAATTGGCTTCATTGTTCAACACCAGAGGTTGCTGCTTGGTCCCATAGTGAGTAAAGTATTGAAGTGGGTCTGGTTGCTGCAGAGGTGCCAGTTCACTTCCCGAGCACTGCAGAGATGCCCTTGAGCAAGGCAGCTAACCTTCAATTGCTCGGGCGCTTTCTGTTCATTTACAACTCTGTTTTTGCACATTTACATTTAATCTTTCCTATTTTAGACTAGTAATGCTAAGTTAAATCCTGGTTGTATATATTCTCATTCTTAGTTTTGATATTTTTAGTACTTATTTACTTTGTATTTAATATTATATTGTGTTTAAATTTGCTAATATTGTGTTTTTTGCTCATATTGTGTGTTTGGACAACCTGCTGCTGTAACGCCACAATTTCCCAGTTTGGGATCAATAAAGTAATTCTATTCTATTCTATTCTATTCTAATGTGCAGCCCCCTCACCATGACACTCTTCATTACAGCATGCCCACAGTGTTCTGTTTGCATTCCTGGCTATGTGTGTGTAGCATGTTAGAAATCAAAGTGTAAAAACTGAATTTTGCCCTAAAGGATTAAAGAAGTATTCTGTCTCCTACTAAGATCATTGATATTATCTGGTCTTGGCGTTGTATGGTTTTCTCGTTGGATCTTACAGGGACACTTGAAGGTGATATGTGTAGTTTCTAGAAAATCTGAAACTACACTGTTTATATGTTTATCTCCTGTGGCTGATATGTGAAGTGCATCCTGCTTCCTGGGCTCCATAAATATGAGCATACTGTTCACAGGAATGAGAGTGAACACGGCCTGCAACAGGTCAGTTATACACCTTTGCTCATTCCTGACATTTTAGTTCTGTTTTTGGTCTCCACCACCTCCTGAGGGAGAGTTGAAGCTTCCTTATGTTATAATCTCTACCTGTGTTTGTCTGCATTTTGGTTCTCAAAAGGTGCTTTATGAGAGGGTATTTTTTTTAGCTGAGGCCCAAACAAATAAAATGAGACCCGAGTGAATACAAACAGTAACATTGCGGACGAGACTACCAAAAAGTGTATTGCAGAGGTAAAATAAAGAATCATCCATAGATCTTTGTCAGAAATGTCACCAACAATGGAGCTGTGTTTACGTAGATTCCTCTGAGCCAGCAACATGTTGCTCATCTCGAGTCTTCAGCACGAGGAATGAATCCAGACAGGTTTGTATGCCAAGACATAGACCCCACCCTCCCTCCACTCTGTCAAAATAACATTACTCACTTTGAATTTCTTCTTGATCTCATTCTCCTTCTTCTCCCTCTCCTTCTGCTCTTTCTTCTCCCTCTCCTGTTTCTCTTTCTGCTCCTTCTTTTCTTTCTCCAGACGCTGCTTCTCCTTCTTTTTCAGCTCCTTCTCATCCGGCACCTCTGCAGCCACTTTCTTATCGCTCCTGCAGAAATCAGAAAGAGGAATATCTTGTTGTTTGAATGGGACTTGTCACTGAGTGTTTAAACAGCAGAGGAGATAATGGGGGGGGAACAAAAGCAGGCCAAACTCTCTCCTCACTGACAGAGTGTGTGTGTGTCTGTGTGTGTGTGTATGTGTGTGTGTGTGTGTGTGTGTGTGTGGGGGGGTCATAAAGTGAGTCCTTACTTGCTGAACCTGCCCGTCTTGCTTTTCTCTTCATTCTGTAAAAGAGAAAAGGCTCAATTCACCTAAATCATCAGAATCACTGACTAATAAGAAACATTTTAAATTTAAAATTTACTTACATTTTCCTGTGATGCCTCAACGTAGGGATCTGTGAAAAACACATTCATTAAACAGGTGTTAAATGGTTCAGGTCATTATTATATCTTTACAGTTTTCAGCCAATTTACATTGTGATTCTGCTGCTAGGACGGCCATTGAGCTGCAAAGGAGGATTGTCATGATACTAGAATTTTAAACTTAAGTCCAATGCAACAAATATTGGGTAATTTGCTTTTCATCTCAAAAATTACAGACAAACTCCTGCAAAGTATCTAAACGTAAAAATACTTGAATGTTGCCTATGTATTTGTTTAATTTAGACAATTCTCTCTACTTTGCTCACAACAGCTTTTGGATAAAAAATATAAAGATCTGTAGTTTAAAAAAACTCTGTCAATTACAGAGATTTTTTTTTAACTCATAGTATAGAGAAGTATTGAAATATTGAAATTTGAACAACCTTTATATCCACCAATGATTGAACATCTGAGAAATGTCCCTCCAAGACAAGGGGTGCTTGTGCTGCACAGAACAGGTTGTTGTTACATTGATTAAAAAGATAATAATAGTGAAAGAAAAAGGGCTGTCAAACATGAATTATTGTATTCCAGGAACTGCTGAAATTCAATAGTTAATTGCATTTAATTATATTTTTAAACACATTTCAAATTCTATTATTTGACATTTCAAAAGATGTGTTTTATGCTTTTATTCAGTATTTTTGTACTGTCGTGAGCTAACGGTACTTTACTTCCCGTTAGGATACAAACCTGTTTTTATCTAGATCGACGGCCACAACATAAACGTAACCATGGAAGGAATTCAATGAAAACAGCAATAAGGTGTCGTTCTTTTCTATCGCTGTGTCTACTGGGAGACGCTGCTCTGTGTGGTGGCTTAGCTACGGTGGACCTAAAGGGACAAATAGCACGCGACCAATGGGATTAAAAAGAATGAATGCATTCATTTCAGACTTTTGATCTCATTGCGATGAATGTGTTAACACTGACAGCCCGAGTATAACATTGAACTAATGAGGTGTCTATGCTGATTTAGATTAAAAAATGTTCATTGTTTTATACAACCCAAGGTATTAACCCTTTAATATTCTAGCCAGAGTCAGGCCAGTTATAACTTCATGATGAAGACATGTATTCATTATAGTTCAATGTTGCTGCTTGCACTGCAGTCATAATGACTGGGTTATTGTAAAATGCAGAGTGGTTGCTCATTGTTCTTTTCTCATTTTGGTGGAGTTATTTTGTATTACTATGCACTATAAGTAAAGGGCGAGCCCAGTAAACTATATCAAGTAGCAACTGGCACAACATTTAGCTGAATGTTGATATGTCTGCAGTGTTAATGTCATAATGTTTGTAGCTATCACTAGAGTCCTCACTCTTTGGTGGTCCTTTGCGTTTCTTTCCGTCAGTCTTTATTTTCTTCCTGGTGGCCGACGCAGTGATGTCCTCATAAACATTTTCTGTACTCTCATAGATGCCATTACCGACCACTGGTAGAATCCTGGATCATAGAAGGGAATCAAAAACAGAAATCAAAACCAGAGCTGAAGATTATTTCAAATCACAGAGGGCAGAGCTGGTGATGTGTCTGACCCTGCATGGGGAGGAGACTCCGGGGGGACAGGGAAGATGGATTCTGGAAGAGGATTATCTCCGTATGCCAGCGCAGCATGGTCATCTACCCCTGGAAAAGTGATCCTGTTCGTGTATAACTCAGGTGTTGACTGTCCATCTGGACTATTTGGACCAGTGTAGTCCCCGTTCCCCCACTCTGACACCGGCAGCTCAGGAAAGTGAGCATCTGAAGTCACGTCGTTGAACTTGGGGATGTCTGTGGTGTCCGTCTCAGAGAAGTCAGCATGACCTGTGTAATCTGCAGCAACATGAAAACATTATTAAAGGGTCTGCTGATGTTATGTGTAATGAAGCTATAACTGTAGTGAAAAGAAAACTACCTTCCATAGGAGGAGGGGGGATGAATCGACTCAGGTTCACAGATGGAGGCCTGTCAGGTTTCTCTGGAGCCGGACCCAGAGACTCAGGGTCTGGGAGGACCTTCTTTGGGGGAGGAACTGGAACCACCAGCAGCTCAGGGATAGGGTCTATTCCCTCCTCAGTGATGCCCTCAATCACCGGAGAGGATTGTCCTGCAAAGAGTCATCATGCAGTCAGTACATGAGTTCTCAGGCTACTGTAGATACTGAAGCAACTTTCAGGATATTTCAGAGTGCAGTGCATGTGTGAAAGGGGTTGTATTTAGTCAAATACAGAACTGAAAGTCTCATATTTTTATAAGGCTGGCCCATTTATTTTGCCAACAGATTGCATCAGCTAGCAGAAGTAAAACAGGCTGCAATGACAGCTCAGATTGTTATTTTAGGGTCTGACAACATTACAGAAAGGACTCGTACAGAGAGTTTGTTTGTTCAAGAGGAAGATGTGCTTTTTTTTTAACCACAAACAGTTGTTACATCACTCTCTACAAACACACCAGACTACATTCATAAAAACAGGAATTTGACCTTGCAGAATATGTTAACTTGTGAATTTACTGTTGACTCTTTTGCTTGTTAGTTAGGCTTATTTAGTGTCAGTAATGTTTAAAATGGTGAGCTTGTAGTATTGAGGGGAAAAGTAGGACTGATTATCCAGAAAGGGCCCCTAAATCTATTGTTTGATTTTTTTTTTTTTTTTCATTTGTTTCTCTCTGAGTCATAACTGTCATAAGAAAGTTTAAACTGGTCCTAGAAATTAACTTGATTCTTAACTCTTTCCAAAATCTTAAAAATCCTAATAAAAAGATGTGAAAACCTTTTAGATGCTTAAAAACGACTCGAATGACAAAAAGGTTGATATATTGCAAAGTGAAATTCATTGTTATTGTTTAATTTAAAATTCAGTTAAGGGTGTAACACAAAGTGTTAATCTTTAAAGAAGGCATGATAGTAGAGTTACACATTTCAATACAGCATTTGTTTTAAATCCAGTGATGTTGATACCTGATTTAAAGTCCTCGTCGCTGATTATTGGATAATTTCCTCTTTTTATTTACCAGAAGTTGCAAATTTCCATACCGAAAGGTTGCCAATGTATTTGTGCAATCAGACAGTGTGCAGGCAACTTTTGATGGATTAGTTCCTCTGCTAAACACCTGTGAGGTTTTTTTAAGATTTGCTAATTTTCCATTGAGCAGTGAAATAACAGATTATATCTTTTTAAAACACGTGGTATAGAATATTTAACAGTGTTATTTGAAAGGTCTTTGTGTAATGGAGGTGGTGTCAGAGAATTATTGCAGGCTTGGCTGAGGCTGTAGCCGAGGGGCCCAACGTGATATCCTTTCATCTTTTCCACACCTCTGAACACTGACAAAAAAAAATCTACCTGTGTAAGGATCCTTTCTGTAAATAAGCATGGCCACTGGCTGAAGCAATCTGGGGCACATTTTGATACTGTCTGTACGTAGTGATTAACACCTCTCGCAAATAAAGGTCCCAGCTTTAAAAACACCAGAATTCTCCTCTAACACGAACTGTATAGGACATCTTTCTGTCTTTTTGCAGCAAGATTTTCATTTGAACACAACAAAGCAACAACAGGACAACACAGAAAAAACTTTAGAAACACCTAAAAGAAGTTTTCAAACAGAGAGAGAGAGAGAGAGCAAGAGAGGGAGAGAGAGAGAGAGAGAGAGAGAGAGAAATAATTGAGTATGTGAGGAAACCAAACCAGTCGAACACACCGTGAATGTTGTTGTGATAAAACTCTGCAGAGCTGAGATAATGCACTCACAAGAGAAAAATGATCGACAGCTTAAAGAAGCCAGAAACTGACAACCGTTCAAAAACGCGTCTTAGGTTTTCTAACTGTGGCTTTTGAGGCCCTTCTTTAAATGTAATCTAAAGTATATAAGCACTTTGTTCTAAACAGGTGACACATAATTAAATTACTAAGTTTCTTTACTACAAAGAAAAATAAATCTGTTGTACCCTTTCAAATGGAATGGCCCTTTTATTATTTTTTTTTAGAAAAAGAGAACAATAATGAAGTCTTACATTATTTAGCTTACATTATCAGCTAGCTTCTCAACTGAAAGTTAGCATGAATAAAGTGTATAACTTTTCTATATTATACTAGAAAAATGATTGCTTCAGGATCAGAAGCAAATAAATACATGCATTTCATTTGTGCCAAAATGTAATCTTTCTCCACTAAAACTCTTCTTAGTTCTTATTTTAGGTCTAGAAGTTGATACAAGAAGTTGATACAAAAAGTTGTGCAATAGCTTCAGTAAGCTGCTTCAGACAACAACAGTGAAACCAGCTCTAATGCAGTTATCCTTTGGGGGTAAATGAACTCTATGGCATGCGTCCCTCAAAGCTGTTGTTTCTGTCAGTGACAGGCTCAGATTGTTATTCTACATGACTGACAACATTACATAAAGTGAGATGATATTTTCCCACCAGAAACAGCTGTTATGTTGCTCTCAATAAAACCACCAAACCTCCATTTTAAATAAAAAAACAGTCATCTCTTTCACAAGATACAGGCGTTACTAATCTATTCAAGTATTGAGTATGAGTAGAGGAATCTATGTCGCTTCAGCCCCTCCACAGATGGAGGTCGGTGCTCTCAGAGAAGCACCTTAGATGTAAGAAAATGTTGGAATGGACTCCTTCTCATCGGCAGAATCCAAAGAAAGTACTGGAGCAAACAAATCACTTAAGGCAGGTTTGTTAAGGTGCAAAAGAAAAACGTTTTGACGAGCACTGCGACTTCCTCGTGGGATTAAAAAAAAACACCCAAGAAAAACCAACAAACAAACAACTCTGAGGAAGACATAGTGCATGTTGAAACATCAGTCGCTTAAACCTTAATATATTTGTCTTAAACGATTCATGTGCACCAGAATTTTCTTTGGATTCTGTCTGTTTGAAGGAGTCGTTTAAAACGTTTTCTTATTGAGTATTGAAGCAAAAAGAGGTAACCTAAAGTTACTTTCCAAAGTAACTAACAATGTTGTAGCTCAGTTAGTAAAACAATACATTTTTATAGGAGTAACTAGTAACTGTAACTAGTTACTCATTTTCAGAAACTTGCCCATCACTGAAGGCGACACAACAACTCAAACAGACTTCCTTGTTCAGGCAGCTGTAAACTAACAAACTCCCTGTTCTGTGAAATCATTGACTGCTTTTTGTCAAATAAGATTTGACAGAGGGGTGTAGAGAGTTTTTCTGGTAAAGGAACAGATCTGGCTCTCCTCGAGATTTAAAGATTAAGGCCTTCCCCTTTAATAACCTGAGTGTTAATGAAGTAAACACAAGCAGCTGACTCTCGCTGTCAGTGTTGTCACTTTAACAGACGTGAAAGAGTCTCTGTCACACCGATGGACCTGCGGCTCTCATCGCCCACATACCTTCACAGCTCTGCCCTGCCTGCTGCTCAGTTGTTTCTGGCACAGAAGAGGAATGTCAGGACGGTATGTGTGTGTGTGTGTGTGTGTGTGTGTGTGTGTGTGTGTGTGTGTGTACGTATGTGCGTACTATAAAACTGCGCTTCCTAACTAACACCTGAGGCAACCCTTCAGCATAAACCATACTAAACATACCAGGTTTTCTTTACCTAACAGCTGCACAGGTGCACAGCTCGTATGACCTGATGGTGACGTATGATGTTGTGTATCTCATGTGCAGAGAAACATTCAGAGAAAATCCACAAGAAAGCAAAAGAGCATAAGAAATGGAGAGCTATGGGTCCAGACTTACTGTGGTCTAAGCCATTAACTAGTTTTCCTGCCTCGTAGTCGATGGGTGGGAGCTTGAGTGAAGATGGGGTGGGACTCTGAGAAGGGGGGAACTCTTCTGGAGGAGGGGTGATGGAGTAGGATGAGGTGGGGGTTGTTATCGTGCTGAAAATAAAAAAGAGGATTGTTAAGTCACTTGATAACTCTTGAAAACTCCTTCTTTAAAAGCTGTGGGCGTTTGTGCATTGTTGAGTCTGTGATTATACCTGGGGGTCTTCCTGCGAGCTTTCTGCAGCAGGTTGAAGATCCTCTGGTCACACGGTGGAGTCCTTTTTGCTGGACTCAACTCTTCCGCCCTCTCCAGCATTGACAGGGCGGAGACCGAACGCTCAGCATTGGGAGACGGAGAATTGGATGAACGGTCCACGACTGGAGTGGGGGGTTTCTCCACTGCAGCCAGGATTATAGCTTCTATATCAGGCCGAGCTTCAGCTGGAGGCTCAGTAGGAGGTGGGGAAGGGGTGGGGGCCACAGGAGGAGCAGCACGCCTGGGTGGGGGGGTCGGGACAGTGCTGGGTGGGCCAAGGTCAGGCAGAGCTGGAGTTTCTATCTGAAGAGGGGTTTTACTCTCTGGGACTGCAGGGATGAAGGCAGGGGGAGCGGTGATTTCAGGAGAGACCGGGGTCACGGAGGGCGGGGTCACTTCCACAGCAGCACTGGAGTTAGGTAAGATGGGGATGTTTGGGAGGACAGCCTTCGGGAAGCTGATCGCAGGCTCAGTCGGTGAGTCTCCAAAGTCAGACGGTACTGGGATGAGGGGAACAGATCCAGAGACGCTCGGGCTGGGGGCGTCCAGAATGCCGCCTGACGGGTCCTCCCCTGAATCACTCTTTAATGACTTCCTGAATCCCAGAAAGCCCTTCTTCTTCAGTGTTGTGATTTTGGGTGGCGGCGTAGCTGGCACCAGCTCTGTGGTGTTTTCCTTTGGAGTAATAGAAAACACAGATGAGATCCTTTTCTCTTTCTTCTGCTTCTTTTCAGACATGTCCTCATCCAGCTTCTCCCTGCTCTCTTTTCCTTTCTTCAGCTTCCCCTCGCTCTTCTCCTTCCCCTTGGAGTTGTTCTGGATCAGAGGCTTCTTGCTCTCCTTCTTCTCGTCCTTGAACACCACTCTGGGGGCCTTGTGCGAGTTGTTGATAGAGGTGAGCAGGGAGGGGCGGGCCCCTGCAGGCAGGTAGTGAGTGGGGCTGTTGGGAGGGGAGGCGACCTTTGGTTTCTCTGGGAGAGTGGGTTTGAGCTTAGGCTGCTTCAGGAGGAGGTCTTCTTCCTGAAACTTTGCCCTCAGTGCTTGAAAGTCCATGGTGTCGTCCTGAGGCGGGGATCACAGCAGATGAAGTAGTCAACATGTGGATACTTGATAGTATCAATAAGTACCAAAGCTTGAAAAATATCACAGATGTTCAGTCATAAGTTAAAGATAAGCTGCAAAGAGAAAGAGAGGAAGAACTCTCTAAATTGCATAAATATGTTCTGATACATTACAAAAGTATTTGATCAATTTAGACAGTGTGCAGGAGTTTGCCTGCAATTTTTGGTCATTAAAAATGAGGAATTTCCAAATATTGGGTGACTCGGACTTCTATTTTTGTTGCTGTTTTATCGGAATTGTATTAATATGGTTTACTTTAAAAATGTGGTGTCCTTAAAACCCCAGCAGGTACAACAGTCAAACAAAGAGATCAGTGATTAGTCAGCCTGATGGTGCCTCAGTTAACAGATTTATGATAGGGTGGTGCTTAGCTTAGAACGAGTTTTATCTTTCACAACACACTTATGGTTTGCATATCTGCTTGTCTCTGTTGAAAAATGAAAGTAGGAGGTTTGGATTTTTGGTAAATTGTATTACTAGAAGATTTTTGACACACACAGAATTAAATGTTCTACAATGACTCTTTACTGCCTGTGGACATTACATCTGAGTTTTCTGAAGAATTTTATACATTTATTCTGACAGTAAGCAGTTGACACCCTATATAAAGTCCCAATAACACAGATAACCCAGATAATACAGATAAGAACTGGAAAGGATAAACACACTTTGAGGAAGGACTTGAACAAATTGAAAGAAAACGTACCTGATCCATTGTGTTCAATTATCCACCAAAACGTCAAAATCCTTCCTTTTTGAGTCAGCAATCTCTCTTCATCAGCCTCTCATCATGTTCAAAATATAAATGATAAATAAAACCTGGAGATTTTTCCTTGCTCTGTCCCCGCTCAGTGCGTATATGTGTGTGTGCCTCCCACACACTCAGGAGTTTCAGTGCAGGAAGTCTCAGTCCTGACACTCATCTCTAAAAAATGGTCCGTCCCGTTTGACAGGTCTGATTAACGCAACACACTGACTGAGAACAGCTCTGTGATTTTTTTTCATCCTGCAGGAATGTGGCCGGGCTGGCACTGATGTGACTCACTGTCATGAAACCTGGAAAGTGCTCTTGGTTTTTTTTTCCCTGAAAACTGCCACATTTCCTCTCTGACTGCTTCACACTGAAAGGCCTCAATTGTTTGATGATTTGTGGCATATTGTGGAGATTAAACCGAGTGTTGAAGGTAAACATAGAGGAAACGGAAGCAAGAGGTCGGTCTACATTCCAGGATTATTACTCAGAATACAAAAGTATTTAAGCAGGTATTTGTAATATGACATACATCCACCTTAAGCAACAGACACACTGCCTGCTTTAGAGGATGCTCAGTCTCACTGCCACCCTGAGCGTGGACTGGCAGGCGTATCAGGAATTCAGATACAGGAGTGGTTTCTGGTAGGGGTGTGAAGGTACTTCATTATTTGTATCTGTATTCTGATATGAAACTGGAATTGGATGTGGTTTATACAGGGAACGTTTTAAGCTTTCTTGCAACATTAGTCATAAAGGATGAGATCAGACTTATTTAAATTACAAATGAAAATTACATCAAATTAAGTCCTGTTCATTTTGGCAATGCAGTTGTTGTGCCTTTAAAGCATCACATATTGGCACATTTCTACTTCCTTATACTCTAATTCTATCTGTTTTTCTCTCTCTTACTCATTTCTTTTTTTGTTTTAAACGAAAGTTTCATGAACATTCTGGGTGCTATGTCAAAATGTAATGAAACATACGATGGCTTTACATCTTAAATGGAAGAACATTTATTAATTTGATACAACGTATAACCATAGACTGGATATAACATACATATTATTTACAGGCTATAGGTATAACCAGTTGCCACACAGGCTTTCATCTGCCAGTGCCTGCCTACATTAGCTCCTCCTAGCCTTGGCCTCTCTCCTCCTTAATACACACATGATTGTTTTTGATATCCAGGATGTCCTGTCCTGGTCCTCCCTGCTGAATATTTATCCCCTCCAAAAAAATGTTTTCCAAAGAGTCCCAAAGCAAAATATAGACACTGAGGTCTGTATCTCGAAACTACAGGTCCACAGGAAGTATCCAGCACTTCCAGGAACTTCTTTTCAAGGGACTACAAGTTTCATTTAGCCTGCTGTTTTCCATCTGACGTGCAAACATCAGACAAATTGGAAAATGTTACCAATCTATGACCAGGCACTCTGATTTTTGCAAACTGCAACAACAGTGAGCATGGAGGGCATAACATTAAGCTGCTGTTATTGTTATAGTTTTCTGGATGTTTCCTGTTGTCTTCTTGCTTTATTTAAATTCTTTCTTGCCGCAGCCTTCTCGACTTCTGTCTCCTTTGTTGTCCTGTTTATCAGGGCGAGTGGTTACAAATAACCGTGGCGGTTTTCATTTGAGCTAAACTTTTTCCCTGGCATTCTTCAGTAAACATAAAATACCTCTGCACATAGAGGGGAGAGTTTACACATTGAGCCAGGGGGGCATCATATTAGTACTTTCCATCCAGACTACAGAGCAGTGATGGGTCAATGTTTTACCTGGACCCTCCCTAAGTGGCACAGAGTCTGCACTTTGCTGTTCAAGAATAGTTTGTCAGTTTGATATATCTGGGTAACCTGAGTGTCTACTGACCCACAAAATGTGAAATAAATCCATCCAGTCCTTTGTTTGTGGTCTGCATAAGTCTTACAACACCCAGACAAGTTCTACGTTTCAAATTTGCTCAACTTGTGATGTCACAGTGGGATTCTGGATTCTGGTATCTCCACCCATGGGCTCCATCCCCAGCCTAGAACAAAACATTTGAGAAGGTCCACCATTTTTATTCTCACTACAGAGGAGTGATGTCTACCAGGAAAACTCAGGGGGAGCTCATTGCATTTAAAGAGACACACACACACCAAAACGGAGCGTTCTGAGAGAGCTGGTTTATACAGGGTCACAAACCTCCTCTGGTGCTTGATTCATGTTATATTTTGACCAAAGCATAGCACAGATGTTTCATTTAGACCACTGGGGACTGTTTTAAAGGTAGAAAAGGGGTATAAAGGGGTGTCCTCTTTAAATTAAACTTTTCTTAAGAGCGAAGAACAAGATAATTCAAAAACAATTTTTGTGGGATTTGTGTGGATTGATGCTTTAAAATAGGCAGGGGAAGACCCTGTCATGATCTGCTCTGTGTTTTTAATGGTTTATTATAATTGTTTCTGTTTAGAATTGCATTTCTTTCTGCAGGGACGGCATTAGCCTGACTATAAATGTTATGGTGTATAGCATTCTTTACATGCATATCCCTATTAAATCATAAATAAACTAAAACAATGAAACAGAGTAAAACCCAGAATATAAGTGTGTTAAGTTACCGTATTGTTTTCCTTTCTTCCACAGGAGGAGAATAAAGTTCGAGGAGGGTTGGAGCTTTGTGCGCGGCGGGCTAATAAAACTAGTGACAGCTCACATTAGAGGTGGTGTGTGCAGCATGATGTGACAGGCCATTAAAGCCGTGTTAAATTACAACAAAATACTGTGGCACTTACGATACACTAACAGAAGTAGTCTCACTGGGGGTCACCTTTGCTGGGCACACACCATTTGGCTCACTCTCACACGCGTAATAACACACACACACACACACACACACACACACACACACACACACACACACACACACACACACACACACACACACACACACACACACACACACCACAACCAGCACACAGAGACACACTCAGGCGTCATTGGGATGTGTTTATTTGTAACAGTAATACATGGTGGAATACGTAAATCAAGAGAGAACCAAAAAATCATCTAAAAACCCACTGTAGAATGTCATATTCATAAAGATAAAAATAATGTGTCAATTTACATTAATAAGAAACTGTTAGCTGAGGTAAAGTTAAAATAGGTCTAGAAATGTTATGTACTCAAACAGCAACGTTTCCCTTTTTATTCTTTGCTCATCTTCTACTCGTCAAATTTTGAAGTGAATCAACATCGGTGTCCAGAAGAGTTCTCATGAGCGCCACATGACGGACTCTGGCCATAAAATAGGGAGTCATTGGCATCACAGTTGATGTAGCAGAGGAGGCTGCAGTCACACACACACACACACACACACACACACACACACACACACACACACACACACACACACACACACACACACACACACACACAGACAGCAGCAGTTTGGCTCCAGACCAGCACACAGACAAATGGGCCGAGCAGCGCCGGACCTGCAAGACTATTCTGGGATGGATGACGGAGGGAGGGGGGCAGAGAGCGAGTGTGCTGCTTGCAACATGAGGCTGGAACAGAGGAAGCTACGTGGTGCAGAATCACAGAGAAAATGTGCATACAGAGGCCTTAAACTGCAGAGGCTCATTTATAAAAATGTGAACAGCTGGAAGCAGGATCAGAAACTGAGGTTAAAGGGACAGTTTGAAGTGTGGTAATGTGACATTAACAATACTTAGTTTGTTACGTACAGAGATAACAGTCAGCATGGTCCCGGTTAGGAGCAGAGTTCCTAAACAGAGCTGACCACAATTTTCGCCCCATACACCTAAAAAAAAATTCCCCTACCATTGATGAAGTTTTCAGGCCAAACAGATCAACAGTTTTGGCACTTTGAGCTTCAAAGCAACAGGTGGTCCAAAAAACCTCAGTACTGTGTTTGATCCACACCAGTGTTTGATTGACAGCTTTTACACCAGTGCAAATGAACCACCCTTAGTTTCTGCTTCAGTACTCAGGCTGGTTTTTCACAAACAGGAACCATGCTGACCGCCAGCTACAGTTGGTAATACATACTGTGAATTTATACCTCATACAACCTTAATTTAAATAATCCAAATATTCTCTTTAAAACCTTCAACATCCATGCAGAGAACAAAACATCATCAGAGAAAACAAGGTGCAGAAGAAAAACAAATGTGTGTATTGCTTGGGTTAACGTCGAGTTTGCATAACTGAAGCTTCCTATTTTATGGCGCAGACGTCCGCTGGACAGGATGGATGTCTTTGTTGTTTCATTATTTACAAAATGAGTTTGGCAAACAGACGATCAGATGCCTTAAAGCCATGTTGACTCTATAACTCCTATAGAGCTGACCCCAGCGGCTTGATTGACTTATAAAATAAAAATTCAATTTTTTCAATTTGTTCTTTTTTTTTTTAATCGTTATTGTACAAAAGCTATAGAGAATGAACAGTTCGATCACAGAATCTCATCCCTCCGCAGGTCTGTCCTCCGCCGCAGTGTGAGTCTGTCTGCGAGGAGAGACGTTTGGCAAATTACTGTGTGTTCTTGTGTGTGTGTGTGTATGTTAGAGAGGGTGAGGCATGACTGTGTGTATGTGTGTGTATAGGTTGGTGTGTGAGCAGCTCCCAGAGAGTCTGTTTCTGCATAGTGATCCAGCAGACACTCACAAAGAACAAGGAGAAAACGCCTGAACCAACCAACCCACCAATCAGACGCAGCGATCCCAGTAATGGGCCGTCCCTGATAGGCCTGTTTAGAGTCTAGCTCCTCCTTTAGGGAATCTCCTCGCTGCAGATGCAGATTCTGTCCATTACAAAAATGATCATTCAAATCCTGTTTGTGTGTGTGTTTGTGTGTGTGTGTGTGTGTGTGTGTGTGTGTGTGTGTGTGTGTGTGTGTTAGTGTGTGTTAGTGTGTGTATAAGAGACAGGGAGGCACTGCTTGATTCAGTCACTCCTTGGCAGCACAGTCTCAGGCCAGAGGCAGGAGGCAGAGGGAGGAGCGTGAGAGCAGAGACAGAGAGGAGGAGGAAGGAAGGAGGTAGGGAGGGAGGCTGGGGAAGAGATGTAGGAGTCTGTAAGGCTGGGGGTGAGTCGCCACAGTGGGAGGGAGGAGAGGAGGAGACGACGCTGCGGAGGGAGAACCGGATCAGTGATTGATTTCCCTCCTCGATGAAGCAAAGGAGAACCACCGCAGAGAGGAGGAGGAGGGGGAGGAGGAGGAAGGCTTCACCAGTCACACACATCCATGCACACATACACACACACACACACACACACACACACACACACACACACACACACACACACACACACACACACACACACACACACACACAGGTTAGGGTTCTCCTCCTGGTCTCAGTGCTGGTCAGGTGTGTGTCTCTGTGCGTCTCTTCATTTCTTCCCTTTGTTGATCTGGGCGTACAGCGGGTCCTTCCCCTTCTGTGACCGAGAGAAAATAAAAGTTAAAAAACAGATTTTATTTGTCATAGTTAAACCTGTTTGTGAGTCATTTTCTCAGCAGATCATCTCTGTGTTGCATTATAAAAAGGGAGGATCAGACTTTGTGATGCATTCGCTTAACTGACTGAGCTGCAAGTCCAGACAAGTCCAATTTGACCTGGATTTTCATTATTTATTTTTTTAACAGAGAACAAATGAGAACTGGAACATCACAGCACAACCAGGGAAAAGAAAAGGACACAGTATGTATGTATACAGAAGGATGAAGACGTACATTAAAGATTGTCCAAGTTGTCAGACCACTATAAAAGACTTTAACCACAAGCTGTTTTTACATAAGTATCTGTATTTCTACTTGAGGAAAGTATGTTTGTACTTTTGCCAACTCTACTTGTGGCTCTAAAAATCTTCAGAAGCTATGTATCTCATTTACTGACATCTTTAGTAATTTTCCAAGGTACAGAAAAGTAAAATATAAAGCAAATTTCAGGTCCAGAGAGAATTCAAAAACACAAAAATAATAACAGGAGTGCTGTGTGCTAAATTAATGTTGACTCCTGGTTGAAAGTAATAAGTAATGCATAAGTTACTAATAATACTTTTTCTGCAGAAATCTCTTCAGATCAAGGAGTTAGTGGGTGTAGTCTGGGTTTCAATCAGCAGTTTTGTTACTTCATGTACCTTATACCACCACCAGGTGGCAGTAACACACCAGTGTATCTCCTCTTAGCGCCATACAGAGCTCTCTCTAAACTCCCCCCCTCCAAACCGTTTTATTTGTGTGTGAGTTATTGTTTTGGAGTGTGTAACTACACACACACACACACACACACATGCATATTCCATCCCTCTGCACCCCCCACCCACTGCCCCCCGCCCCCCAGGCCCAGAATGAATCAGAGGTATAAAGCAGTGCCTTGAAGGACCCGTTCTGAGTCATCATGTCTGAGTTTCTGCAGCACAGCAGAGGATGATAGAGCAGCCTGCAGTCACTCAAAGCAGCCCATTATTACTGGACACACAATTACAGACACACTCAATCTGCTGCACACACAGCCTGATTGGAGTCGACTGACTGACTGACTGACTGACTGACTGACTGATTTGTTATATTCTCGAAACTTCTCTGAATCACTGGAGGAAACATTAAGCTCTATTTCACATAAATTCGGTGGACCAAAGCCTGTCAAATGTTGTGTGTACCATCACCACCCACCACTAGTTGGAGCTGTAGCTCCGGTCAGCGGCTACTTCAATCTGGCCTAATCCTGCACTATGACCCCAAAGTAAACAACAGGACAGTCGAAGGATGGCACCCTGTAGCGTTGACAGACTTAGCAAACCTATTTCACATCTTTAACACATACAAATTCAACCCACAATGCACTGCTTTTTGGTTCGGATCACGTTCTGACCTTCTAGCGAACCAAACTCTGGTGCACTTGGAAGCGAACCGAGACCCCGGTATTCGAGCGGACCCCAGTTCAGTTCTTTGGTCTGCACCATAGTTCATTTAAGCATTAACACCACCCCAAAGCAAATGAACTCTACCACAAAGCGGACCAGAGTTTGTTTCAAACAGACCAAACAGAGACCAAAAGATTCTCACAGCTCCAACTGGAGGAATTTGTGTTTTACACGCATAGAATCCGATGAAAGCTGCAGAATGGAGTGAACTGCTGCCTGTTGCCTGAATTTAACAACTAGGGCTAAAATCTAAAAGGCAACATAATCACATAAAACTAATGCAAACCTGACACAGCCTACGTACATACTTAATCAAAATATTGGCAGACCTCACGGCTCCTTTGAAATGCTATCCAATCACTATTCTTGTTTACATCCAGGGATTAAAGTGAGGAGAGCAGGCCCATTTATTAAAGCTACAGCCTCAACTGGTGGCTGTGTTGCAGTTTGGGCACAACATTTGACAGCCTTCAAGGGCCAAAATAATGATAACATTACTTTTAAATGACGAGTAATTCTGGTTCTGCATCAACTGGGACATCACACTGAGGTTAAGTTTTAAAATGGTGCTGTTAGCCTTCGCTTTGCGCTCTGGTGTACAGAGCTGTGACTGCAGCACAGCCCGAGTTCAGACAGCCAGCAGAGAGAAGCTGCCCGCAAGGTGACAAACAGGCTGAGACAGGCAGCACACACTGCTCAGACGCTGCTGCAGAGCCACCGCCCGCCACTGTCAGCCCGCATCAGCTAACCAGCAACACCGACCGGCGGGGGGAGAGGGAGAGAAAGAGAGAGAGAATGGGGAGAGGGAGAGTGGACATATGAATGAGATTGAGCCTGAAGGCCAAGATATGTGACCCTGCTGGTACATGAGTAGATATGTGTGTGTCAGAGAGTGTGTGTGTGTTTGTGTGCATGCTCGAGTGTGTGTGTGTGTAGTGGGCCTCGGGGCAGGCGGAGTGATGAGAGGCTGCTCAGTGAACCGTGGAAGCCGACCATTTCACGGCTAAGACTCGGGAACGTTTTTCTGAACATGATGAGATCAGCCCAGAAAAAATACACACACAAACACACACCATCCTGGACACATGTCTTTTTTTTGGGGGGGGGGGGGGACACTGGACACTGCCAGCAGCAAACACACTCACACAAACACACACAGATATTTGGCTCTGATATGAGCACAGGTGGTGACAGCATCGATCACAGGTGTGCTTGTCTGGGGAATAACTGCCTTTATTGCACAGTTGTGTGTGTGTGTGTGTGTGTGTGTGTGTGTGTGTTTGGGGGTATGTCTGATGTCTATGTGATTGAGCGAGTAAACACCATATGGGAGCAGAGTCACTGGACCAGGACCAAAGTGGTCCACCTCCTGCAGAAGAAGAACTGAACACACTCAGCTCTCGGCTCTTTAAAACATGTCATGCTGCTCTCAGCCTCTGTCCACCTGCCTCCTGCACGTCTGAATGAAAGGACAGCCAACAAGAGGCGGGAGAGGGGGGTGGGGGTGGGGGGGGGGGGCTACTGCTCAATCATCCGTCCTCCCCTCCTGGAGTGGGGAAGGACTTGAAGGCTTCTTGGGTTTTAATTAAAGCCAATTATGTGGGGGTGCTCATTAATCTTGGCACACCAGTATTAGCCGATGAAAACAAAACCGTTAGATTTTCCCTGTGTGAGTGCCAGCAGCTATCATTAAGAGGGAGGCGTGTGGGTGAGGACACGGAGGGGAGGGGGGGGTAGGATCAAAATGGCCATCTCCTTCATTGTGTGTGTGTCTCTGGGCATTCTTTCTATTATGTGCCTCATTGTTTCCTCTCTCCTCTGTCTGTCAGTGTGTCTGTCTGTGATCCAGAAATCCATCTCAGCATGTCTTTCAAGATGTCACAAATATAATGTTGAGGTATGAGTGAGGAGGAACTGATGCTTTTCAGCATGCATGCACAGGAGGAGAAAAAAAACAACACACAAATGTACAAAATGTAATTTATCATGACACTGTCATGCTTATCTCCCATCATTAAATACAGAGGTGGAGTCTAACATCATGTTAAAATGATGGCTCTGCTGCTTTAATGTCTTATTCCCTGAAAACACCTGTTGCCTTATTTCCTCTCTCCTTGTTTCTCTTCATCACTCCTTTGATTGCATCTCATGGGAGGAACTGAAGCTGCAATTTTACTGCAACTCAACCCAGAGACAAGGGACTAAAGCAGCCACTCAGTGTAGTCGTGTTGCTGTATCCAGGGGCTAAATAAACTCCTTTTGACTTCTAGCACTTCACATTTTTGATGGTGCTTGAAGGCTTCAGAAGAATCTTTCACATGTGAGCAGACTGATTTGTTGATTTTTTTGCAATGTTGAAGAGTAATTAAGAGGACAAACAAACATATAAAACTAATTCATTGTCAAAATCAGGTTTGGTTTCTATTAGTTTGTCATGTTAGGATAAACCGGTTATATGAAGAAACAGGTAGGGAAGCATTCACTGTGTGTTAGGCTAAACTATCATTGTACAGACTTTATGGTGTTCAGTGATTTATCTGAAGGTGATTGGTGTATTTTGGTCACCTTTGGAGTGTGTTCTGGATGACAGCAATGTGGATTTAATGCTGATTAAAATTCTCATGAGAAGCTGTTGATGTTGTTAATGATAATGTATATGAGATGATAATATATATAAATACAAAAAAAACAAATATGCTTTGCCACTGTGCACTGCCTGTCAGCAGCTGTGTCCGATCGGACTGCTGTTCGTCTCTAGAGTCTTGCTTGCGTTGTTCCTACTCTTTGTTTGTCGTCTGCTAAATCAATTGTAGAATTATATTTAGGGCCTGTAATGTGCAATGTACCTTATGTCCTTGCCCTAGAGAGAGTGGGGAATGACATGCAGGGAAAGGAGCCACAGGTCGGACTTAAACCTGGGCCCCCTGCTTAGAGGACTGTAGCCTCTGTACATGGGGCGAGTCTTGACTGCTAGGCCATCAGCACCGCCTGTGTGATTTATATTGTATGGGATCGTTTGTGTTGGGGGTTAAAAACTATTATTGTATGTTTTTCACTGTTGATTTTTACCAGAATGTGTCCAACATGTTTGAACTGCGTAACACCGTGTCCTAACAATAGGAAAGAGTTAGACATTGTGTCACATCGAATCGTGCAGCATTGGACGCTCGCTGTCTACACTGTAAAAAAGAGGCGTCACCTTGAGCTGTTTTGTGCTGCTTTGCTCACAGGCTGTTAGGAAACTATTGGATCAAGCTGATTTTGATGCTGACGCTCGCTCGGGGTGCATGCTGGTAGGACACAGTGTAAGATTAAGAGGAGGTAAAGAAAGGAAAGTAGGGTGTGGGAGTTGAGAAATGAGAAGAGGCTTGTATCTTCTCTACAAGCTGCATTTTGCCGTCTGTCGTTATTTGCAAGTTGTGTGAAAGTTTCTCTGCAGGATGATGAGCTCACATCATCACTTCTTTGAGTTTGTTCGAGGAGCTGCCCGTCTTTGTCAGTCTGATCCTCTGACAACACTTCACATATCATCAGTTATATTACAGCATGTTACATACATAATGCATAGAAATGACAGCACACATCAGCTTAACATCCGGCATCAGCATAGTGTGCACAACATTGACAAATCCCAGAAGACGTCCTGTTCAATGAAGTGCACAGCGTCTGATTGGCTGTCGCACACTGTTGGCTGTCCTACTGAGACAGGGAGCATTACATAGAAAGGACACAACAAGGGCACACAGCACCGCTGCCATTATGAGTGATGAAAGTCACACACATGACTTGAGATAAAAACTCACAGATCTCCTCGTGATGCAACAACAAAACAAAAAAAAACTGTGGACGAAACAAACAAATCATCACATGCACGGTCAAAGCTCACACTCAAACACAGGGCAGCAGAGCATGTGGGACAACAGGTGAAGCAGAGACACTGTGAGGTCAGAAGCTCAACAGAAAAAGGAACATATTCAAAAAGATGCAGCACAAGCAGAGATGGATTTATGGGGAGGTACGAGGGCAGGGAGGTGAAGGAGGAGGAGGAGGAGGAGGAGTTAGTTATGGAGGAGAGCTGTTGATACCTACCCTGCCCTGCTGATATCTAGCTCCCAGCCTCTGGACTGGCCTGGTCTGGGCTGGGCTCTGCTGTCTCACTGGGACAGGGAGACCCAGAACCACATGCCTACAGAGGGGGGAGGAGGGGAAGGAAACAAGGAAGGGAGGAAGGAAGGAAGGAAGGAAGGAAGAGAGGAGGAGGAGGAGTGTAAGAGGAGGGAATAGGTTAAAGAAGAAAAAAACTATTGGAAAGGATTGCAAGATCAGGACTCCTTAAAACACAGAAATCAAAGAACTAAGGATGTCTATGTTTTGATTTCAATGTAGTAGTTCATTTCTTATTCAAGCTTTTGTGCAAAACCTCACAAACTTTAGAAAGAACCTCCAGCTTACCAATGGGACTGGTCTGCTTAATTTGTGGTCAACTGTATACGTTTAGTAAGGTAAAGGTAGAGATCAAGGTTGAGATCAAAGTTAGTTAAAAATGATACAGTAACTTTATATGTTTGATTCATTGGGGACACTGCGACTTTTTGAGTCGAAGAGAAACAATTTTACGCTTATCCAGATGAAATACCATGATTTTAGGGAGTCCTGGAAATCTCTAAAGACTTTAAGAGTAAACAGTAGGCAGAAGAGAAAAGGTGTCAGTAGAAAAAAGGAAACCACAGCCCACACACACACCATCGCCTTTTGGAAACACACACCTGCAAACGCACACAGTCAAACTTACAGACACACAGAGGCACTCATTTACCCTGGTCTTCACAAAAGACTCTGCACAGTTCAATCTATTGATCGGCTGCTTTTCTCCTCAAATACTTCCTCTCTTTACACAGAGAGTGGGAGGCTGTTTTTCTGTCTTCTCTCCATCTTTCTCTCCTTCTTTTTTTCCCCTTTGTAACCTTTCTGCTGCACTCGCTCTCTCTCAGTGCCGCCACATTTCTCCTGCATGTGTGTGTGTGTGTGTGTGTGTGATCCAGGCCCGGTGACATTTCCAGCAGTGTGAAAGTCCTCTATTTTTTTCAATAATAGTCGGATTGAAGGCATAAAAACTAATGTCTCAAGCCTGCAGAGGGGAGAGAGAAAGAGAAGAAAGAGGCGAGCATGAAGAAACACAAAAAGAGGGAGAGAGAAGCGTCACAGAGAGTGCTGAAAGAAGTCTTGTTTCCTCGAAGGTCACTTAGACTACAAGGACTTTGGTCAATGGTAGAGGGAGTTTCTCTTTATCATCCCATCGTTTCTTAATTTCCCCTCACTACGAGACCGAGGAGCGGCTGCTGCAGGAAAATAAATATTAATTGCCTTTGGAAGAAGAATTGGGGCATTATTCGTCGTCTATCTGCACAGATGAGTCTGTCCGTATAGAGGTAGTGATGTATGGACGCTACCTGGCTGGTATTAATAACAGCTTAATGATGTCTCTGACAGTCCCAGCAGCTAATTTAACGCTGTGTTGACCATGCACGTACCAGACACACACACACTGCAGCACAAACTTCTGCAGGCATGCTCAGGTAAAATTCACACATCTACACCCACACACACACACACACACACACACACACACACACACACACACACACACACACTGAGGGACAGCACACACTAATCAGCCGCAGTGATTACCTTCCCGCCAACACGGCAGCTCGGTGATTTATCAGCACATCTGAGCTCAGGTTACACTTATTAAACACACACTTACAGCGTCTTCCTCTCCACTGCGACTCGGGCTGCCCTCTGCTTCCCCAAACGAGTCGTCCGTGGGGGGGTCTGTGGCGTCCGTGGGGGGGTCACTGACATGGGAGGCTGAGGACTTGGAGGGAGAGCTCTGCCTGGGGGCCGGGGTTGGAGCTGCAGGGAAGGAAACTCGGAGTCAGACACAGCTATAGACAGAAGGAGCATCATACTGAGATGAAGACGAAGGGTTCTCACGGGAGTTGGTGGACGGCGTCGTGGAGGTGACCGGCGTCAGGTTCATCTGAGAAATGTCGAAGTCGTCACAGTCGTCCGTGTCCTGGGCGGTGCCCACACGGCTGAAGTAAGTGCTGAATGCATCTGAGGTTGCCGATAAACTCGGCTGCTCGCCCTTTTTCAACGGCATGGCCGGAGGCTTCGCCAGCTGAAAGTCCTGAAATACAAGGAAACAGAGAAACTCATCACTTACTGTATTTAAAAATGTAACTTGTCCTAGTTATTTTAAATGTGAGGACACAGTGTTCAAACCTCAGAAACATCATTCACACAGTGCAGATAAAACCAGAGCTGTATTGTCTTTCGTTGCCTTGAAATGTTGCAGACGAAGCATTTTGTTGCAAACATGTCTCAGTGAATTTGGTGCCAACCACAAATAAGTGAACTGTTGGTAGAACAAACTCAGCAGAGGCTCACACGACAACCTGACTTCAACTCATGTTTAATGTTTCAAAGTAAGAACGAGCTCCATCCAGACAATTGTTAGCAACTTTTCAGAAGTAATCTGAATCCATACTACACAATAAAGAAGTCTCATCACGACCATTTAATTATAAAAGCAAGTGTGAGTCAGTTTTTTGACAGGAAGAAGATTGTCTACTCTCCGTTAAATCCCTTAAATGTACAAAATACTACAAACGAGAAGTGGTGAGGAAAGGGACCAGATTTCTATGTTTGGTCTGAGAACAAATTGTAACTGTGGCTCTGTTGGTAGAGTCGTCGTCTCTCAAGCGAAAGGTCGAGGGTTCCTCCTGCAGCAACATGTCCGATGTGTTCTTAGGCAAGACACTTAACCATGAATTGCTCCTGCTGCTTCGTCGGGGGCGTATGAATGTGTATGAATTAGTTACTACTGATGGTCTCACTACATAGCATCCACTTACATCAGTCTGTGAATGGGTAGGTGTGACCTGCGGTGTAAAAGCACTTGACTAGAAAAGTGCTATATAAGCTCCATTTACAATTTTCCATTCCTAAATTTACATGGGTGTAGCTCCGTCTGACTGCTGTGTGTCTACAACAAAGCAGAGATGACTTTCAGACCAGAACTGGGTGAGTAGGTTCTCTTTAAAGTCTCAGTTTTAGATGTTTTAAATGTTCAAGTCCCAAACTTTCTTGGAGGTCAGAGACCAGAGTTGTTCTCTCTTCCTTTATACCCTGACATCTCTTTAATATTCACTATCATATAAAGGCAACTATTTCCCCTCCAATATGTCTTGATACATTTGAGAGCATATGTGCAGCAGGGAGAGAACACACAGCAAATAACAACAACACAACCTAACACACAAACAGCTGCAGGAAGTGACTGTAGATATGACAATGGAGTGTGTTTGACAGTTTTGTATACTCCTGCAGTATGTTGGGTTCTAATCAGCACAGATTATCAGGGATTAGCTGCTGAGTTATTTTAATAAACACAACGTAGAAAACAGCTCACCTTGAACATCTCCTTGCCCATCTTCCTCGCTCTCTCCCCGTGCTGCGGACTCGACGACGCTGAGGGGGAGGGGGCTGAGGCGCTGGCTCCAGAAGCTAAATGGCTCTCGCCAACCGGAGTCACAGTGGGGACCGGGGTCAGCGTCTGGAACATGGCGGCGGGCAGTGTGCCCACAGGTTGGGCGGGGAGGTAGGCTGTGGGGGGGAAGGCTCCCGCCGCCATGGCCGCCCACTGTTGCTGGGTGGCGGGGAAGATGTTGGCCTGGCCCCAGATCAGAGGCTGACCGCCTGGCAGGACCTGTGCCACTGGACCAAGAGGAGACTGGACCCCAAAGGCCAGCGGCGTCTGAGCGGCAAACTGCTGGGACCAGTGTCCAGGGGGGACGGCCCCCATCGTCACATAACCTGGTGGTGACAGGGTGAATAGTTTGAGGTCAAAGATAAAATATAGACGTAGAGGAGATGATTAAAATCCCCCACCATGTGTCGGCTTTCTTCTACTCTGCGTTTGGATAATAAAGCCATGCATCAGCAGAGAGAGCTGTCCTACTTCTGCCTGCAGATAATGTGCTGCTGTCTCTTAATGGTCATGGTGAACTCTCATAATTACCTCCAGAATGAGGCAGAGTCATTATGAAACGACAGAGCTCTACACACACTCATTAAAACCTGTGAAACTCATCAGCAGGAGCTGTTTCTATTACACACTGACTGCTCTCCTCATTCTGCACGCCTGTTGTTACCTGCAGCAGAAAGAAACCAACATTTAACCCCCGCCGCCCTGCTACTCTGACATGTCAGAGAGGGACAAGGGGAGGAACAGAGGGAGGGAGAGGGTACAGTTGTTCTGACTCTAATAATTTCCTCTTATACCACAAGTACACAGGTCAATGCAACGTTCTGCTGCCATATTTCATCAGTCCATCCAAAAAAATCAACTGGTTTCAGGCCCATCATCTGACAATGACAAAGCCTCTTGGAGCGACGGCCAATTTTTTTGGGCATCTGATGAAACAAACTGTTATTCATAATAACCAGTGTGAGAGTTCCTTCTCCTTGTGCTCTTCATCATATAAAGTCCAACTAGCGACTTCACTAGTCAAAGGGGTGATGTCTAAAACCAGATTTTTTTCTGCACTTAAATTCAGATGTCTGTTGATAGGATTAATTAAAGACTAAATCTTCATAATACCTTTAACCTTCTTTACAAAGACCTTTTTGCTGCATAAAACCAATTCCTGCAGAAAAAAACAAGAGGCCACAGCTACACAGACTGCAAACAGAAACAAGAATATCTTCTGCATAAGATTTCCAGAAAACTTCCTGACATTTTGAGGGTGAGCTGCATGTGTGAACCCAAACAGCCACATTGTTTGTTCTGCCTTTATCTGAAATTTTCCTGCCAGCCCCTTTTTGCAATTTTTCCGCAATAAGTCAAGGTGAGCTGAGTGAGTGAACCGAGCAGGAAATCTTCACTAAAATTCAAGTGGGTGCTGTGCAAGACCATAGACTGCATGCACGTGAATGAAACTGATTCATTATGTTTTCTTTTGCCAGTTTGTTCTTCTCCGTTATTTTGTTGCTGTGTCCTCCACTTTTAAGTTGTCCTTTTTATGTTATGTCTTTCCCCCGGAGCCTCCCCACACCTCCTGTGCACCAGTGATAGTCGCCCACTGTGAGGTGCATGTGTGAACACAAAAAATATATAATTCTTGAGCAGTCTGCCTGAAATGTTCTAGAAATTTTCAAGAGTGCAAGTGTGAAAATGGCTTTTGACTTCCAAAAACTAAAATCCGGCAGCAAGGAAACATATTTGTACTGATACTATGTTTGTTGTGGTTGAACTGGTATCAGAGGCGTATTCAGTATCGGCAGACACTCCAATCTACTAATCAGAGTGGATAGTGGGAAGGAGGAATTGATATCGGAACGTCTAAAGAGGGAGGTAAAGGAGAAGAAACAGGAAAACTAAAACAAACATGCGTCTATAGAAGACTATAACCATCTCAGTGATTTTTATTTCTATTCACTGGCTGCAAAAGTCCCCACGGACATCTCTATCTGAGGCTGCAAGCTAATGATGGAGTTCATATTCAACACACAACCAATACCACCTTTTCTCCTTTTGTTCCCTTCATCTACATTTCTATTCTGTCCGTCATTTTATCTTGCCCTCCTTTCTTGTCTCTCCTCTGCCCTCTGCCTCTGAATATCTCCTCCTGCTGTGTTTGTTTCCCCTCCGCCTGTAGCTGTGTTGTATTTAAGCAGAGAGTGAACAAGGAGCTACCTGAGGGCACAGACGCAGGGTTGAAGGGAGCGAACAGTTCTGTAGGCGGCTGCAGGCCCAGCGAGGGGTCCAGGGTGTTGGCTGGAGAGGCGGGGGTCTGTGCAGGGTGTGATGGGAGGAAAACATCAGTGGGGACACAGTTTAGGTGTAAATGGTAAGAGTGTGTACGTATGAGAGCTGCTCACCGATGGAGAGGTGATGTCAGGAGGCGTCGACATGTCTCCAAAAATCTCTAACTGGTTGAGATTCTGAGGGAAGAGAAAGAAAACCCTTCAAGTCAGTTTAAACAACAACACGGTCTTAGCTCTGCATAGTGTGGTGTAGGTTACGTTTAGATGCAGCATGCATCACAGTCTGCATGCAGCATGACAATAACCTAAAGTGTTCCTACCTGAGCACTGAGGCTGCACACAGAGGAAGAGGAGGGGACAGCAGGGTGAGGAGAGATGGATAATGAGATGAAATGATTATGATGACATACCTACCAAGATTTATACAGCCTGTCATCTGCAGCATATACAGAGCAGAGTTACTCCATGTCTTTTATTTTCAAACCTTTTTTCCTTATACATCCACTTTTATATCTACTGGGCATGAATCATGGAGAACCAGAACTAATAATTGCCATGATAACAGAATGCTAAATCCATATTTTTGGAGTAAAAGAACAATCTTCATAAGTAAAAACACCCATTTAAGTGTTAAATCTCAAAAAGGATAATTGGGTCACACCTACGCCGTCTACTATCAGGTCCACATCTTGGGCCCCAGACCCTGGACTGGTTGATTATATCTGGACCAGTCTGCATTCTGTTATTGTGGCTCTAACGTCTGTTTATATATAACAACTGAGTGGGTCTGAGAAGAGTCGTGTTCAGCACTGATAAGGGGGGAAACACACCGTGTCGATGTGTGTTGAAAAGGCTGACTGTAGCCGTTTTTTAAAGATGCACTGAAATTGACATTTCTAGAAAATGTCTAGAAACATTCTAGAAAATCTCAGGAAGGCTGAGATTCCCCAGGTTGGGTCAGATATCTCAGGGAATAGTCTGGATATGTAGATTACTACTGATCAAGTTTGATCTCAGAACACATTTGTAGCATCCATAGGGGTTTGGGTTTGTCATTTTGGATTCTAAAAAGCAGGAGAAGTTGCCTCAGATGACGTAACTTTGAACGAGCATCTTTAGATGTTTCTTTGTCGCTGCTGACTTGAAGGGGGATGAACAACCGAAAAAGCTCTGAGGTGTATCAGTGCTTCCACAGTCATGAAGCCAGTTTGTTTAGGGAAGTCCGACAGCAGACAGAGAGCCGAATCAAAGCCTAGAATTTAGTTTTTTATATAAGCTGAAACCAAGCAGCAGCCTCTGCTGTTGAAAAATGAAGCACCGGCAGTCACATACCAGGCAATCAAAAAGCCCATTTTTACGCAGAAGTTAACATGTTGACAGCCTGGTTCAAAAAACAAAATAGGTCTGATTAGCTCATGTCTCGATTGGCACACACTTTTTATAAGCAGCTCCAGGTGTTAGCCTGTTGTTAGGTTGACTGAAAGGTATAGGGTGAGACAGCATTTCCAGCATGACGCCAGCCAAAGCCTCCTGCAGTAACAAACGGGTGACGTCACTGAGGCTTCGTCTTTCAATATTTACAGTCTATGGCTGAAACACAAACATCTGGCTGCACAACTGTACGACTTCAGAAGGTTAAATGTTGATATATCTGATGGTTTAATGTTAATTAATATTGCAGCTTCTGGGTGTGATTATTAATGGGCATTTCTGTAAAGTAATTTAAGATTGCAGTCAGATGGGGAAAGACGGGCATAACAGCAGAGGTACCAGAGCTCTGCACAGTGTTTAAGAAATGTTCTAAAAAGCTTACAGCAGTACATTTTAAATTGAAGGGAAACTTCTTTAAAAAAAAAAAAAACATGATAATAAGCCACTTGGACTAAATCACCAAAAGTTACATCCATTATCATTCGCACAGTTAGGGCTCCTGAGGAAAAGGTGGACACTTCCCATTATTTAAGTTTCACTTGTCTCTCTCAGATCTGTGTTTGTGCTGCTGTAACACCCGAATCTGCCCTCTGGAGATCATAACGCTTCTTCTTACAGTAGCTTATTTTATAAAGATGATTCCACCAGCTGCTCTGTGAGCAGACAGCCACACCCCCTAGCATCATTACTGTAGCAGTGTGTTCCTGTGGACAGTCATTACTGCTCCCTGTGGTAGCGAGTGTGTGATGTGCCTCAGAGGGAGCAGATATCAAACACAGCAGCCGTTCTATTTGATCTGAATTTGTTCTGTTTCCTTTCACAGTCTCCCCATGATCCCCCTCTTTAGTATCTCATCTTTTCTTGCACATTAATAATATCTTCAGGCCGGTGGCAAGTGAACGAATCTCTATTTTTAGTCGTAAAGGAATTTAAGCCTTGAATACATGGGCAGAGATTAGCATAAATCATGGATGTGGATAATTTCTTTGGAGATAATGAATGTTCTTAGAATATCTCCCCTCTTTTAGGTCACATATGGACCACAGCATTCTTTTACATCTATCAGAAAATGGATCTGTTCTGAAGATGGCTGTGTTAGGGGATTCTTTTTTTCACACAGAGGGGAGGGGGAGAGGAGGCTGGAATGTGGACTAATGTTTCTGCCGAGCCGCAGATTAAAATCAACTCAACACAACTATAACCTCCGTATCAAAGATATGGTGCATCCACACGATAACAGGATGTCTGTGGGATTAACTCACAAAACCACATTTTCAGAAACACTCTCTTTACACTAAAAGAGATTAAAGTCATGTGGCCTGTTGCACCAGCTGTGTTCAAATGATGTCTAAAGTTGGTGTAAAGTCCACACTAAACCCTACTTACTCTGAAACCAGACGTGACCTGGCTTCATGTTTAAAGTTGATGGTTTTAAAAACATTATGCGGCCATGAGTGTCTTATTCTTTCATGATGACAGTAACTCAATAACTCTCTCTTCATGGGCACAAAAACAGATGAGCTCATCTTGACCCTAAAGATGTTGTAAATGTACTCTGCTTTGGCAAAGTAGACAAATGAGTGCATTAACGCCATGTTTGAGGTCAAAGTTCACACCCCCATTATTGTTGAGGGATATAACGTAAGCCTTTGAGTACATTTGAATCAATATATTACAAAAACTGGTCAGATTTCTTGGTTTTTTTTGTTCTTGGTTTTAGTTACAGCAGTTATGCTTTTGGCCAGTAGAGGCTTTCTGTCCACTTGTAAAGAAATCTTTATATTTGTGCTTGCTTGTGGCAGCAGTACAGGAGTTATGTTGCTGTAACTATCAGAGTGTTATAAATGCCTCCTCATTAATATACTCCAAGCAGCTGAACTCTGCAGGTGAAATGACCGCCGCTGTCGGACCCCCTCCCCCTTCACGCTCTGTGACAGAAAATCTGACCTTTACGTCCACTCAGACCTCGGAGCTCCCCCGATGTTTTTCTCTCCCTCTCTTACACTTTCTGCAGGTGTGAAGGCACAGTTGCGCTCACACACTCTGCCTGCTTCTTGTTATGCACCACGGTTACATGTTTTATTCATAAATGGCAGGGGTCAAGAGTTGAGAGTAGACTTTGGACTACTGAGGAACAAACGTGCTGCGGCATAGATAAAAACAGGAGACAGGAGGTAACCTTTAGGACGTAGAACGGAACCGGTAAACCCTCCGTGCTTCTCTCTCTGAACCATGACGGCCTGGTGCTGTGTTATTCATACGTACAGAGCCTTACCTGAGTCACCTCGTGTAGGTCTAAGTCTATCAGATCTGCCACTGCCTGTTGCTGCTGCTGCTGCTGCTGCTGCTGCTGCGGCTCAGTGTGCTCTGGTTGGAGGGGCTGATGATGAAAATGATGGTGTTGTTGATGATGAGGATGGTGGTGGGGGGTGTTTTGATGTCCGTTCTGCAATCACAACCCCGGTGTTAGATGACAGGTGGGATGAAATGTGCTCACACAATTACAGCGAGGATGAGTCAGAAAGGAAGGAGGCTTTTAAAGGAGGAAAAAGAAAGCTATGCGGGTTGTATAATCACAAAGCACACTCTCACTCACACACAGAAAGAGTTTCTTTTCGGAGCAGAGTAAAGATTTAAAAAGGTTTAAAGATCATCCCTACCTTTAGTCTAAAGTGCAGCTCTGAGCTGAGTTTTAAACCCTCCTTGTGTTTCTGTAAAGCCGACTCCCCTGCGTCAGGAAGCTCAGCGAGAGACCGAGGAGCTGCACTATCTAACATGCTCGATGTCAGGGCAATAGTTGTGTGATATATTGAAGGAAAAATGTTTCTTTTCTTTTAGTTCCCTCAGCAGCTTCACAAGCTTGAGCTCCATAAATGAAACTAAAACATAACACTTAGAAACATCGTCATCATCTGTGACAAATCCAGGGGAAAGAAAAGAGGAAATCATGAGAATCGCTCGCGTAGACATGGACAAGGAACGAGGGACTTCTACAAGGCGGTGGCGCAAAATAGTACAAGTACAAGAGGCTTAAGTACCAAATTGTTATTGGAAATCAATTAGCTCATCATGCCTCATTTCCCATCATGCTTTGACTGAACCTATGTGCTGGACAGAGTGACTGGTTTGTTAAGCTCGATGTTTTTGTTAGGAAACGCATGGTTACTCTGGTTAGTTTTGTTAATGTCAACATGTAGAGGATATTCTTTTAATGCAGTTATGAAGTTAGAGGTCAGTTTGTCTTAATCAACTCTCCCTATGTTTTTAAACCATAACTGTGTGGATGTTGCATTTAAGGACCACAGATGTATCTGGCCATTGAATGTAAACAAAGAATAAAGGAATATTTCCCTTCACTGCGGCTGTCAAGCTGCTACATTTAAGTCAAAGCCAAAAAGAAAAGATTAGAGTTAAACTCTGCCCATTGAAGAAATAGATCCCCAGAGTTAACCGGTTTCTCACATTCCTCGCAGGGTTTTCTAATATTATGACAAGTACTGCAGATGTTTCCCCAGCTGTGGCACAGAGACATAATCTGCTGATTGGTTTGGCAAAGCAACAGTAGCTGCTTGCAGTAGAAAATTACTGAGTTTTTCTTTGGATGGAGACGGAAGTGCAGACATCATTAGCTGATTATGAGGAACAATAACAGCTCACCTGGTGCTCACCACTTCTGGAAATGATTGTAATTTCTCGACTGGATGTTTGTCATAAAGGTTCATTAAACATGGAAATTGTATGTTGAAATACTGCTTCTCTGACAACAACGCAGCAGCCAGTATGTCCTCCTCCTAAGTTTTGATTCTGGTCCTGAATGTATTTGTTTTGACCAGAGAAGGTAAGACACCCCGACACAGCCATAATCCAGCCCTCTTGGTTTGCCAGTTGTTGTGGAAAACCAACAGGTGTTGCAGCGATTAAAGTGGGCAAGCTCCTCTCTCCAATCTTTTGAATTTGACTGCAGTACCAATTTCAAACGCTACATACATACAACCCTACAAACATTAAACGTGTACTGTTCTCCTCGCTTACAAACACAACCTGCTGCTGCGACTGCTGCAAATTCCTCCATCTTTCTTCCCTCTATTTCTCCCTCTGACCATCTCTCCCTCTCTCTCTCTCTCTCTCCCTCTCTCTCGCCCTACCAATTATCCCTCCGTGCCCGTTACACACTCTCACCTTCTCCTTGGCAGGCCCTTTATCTCTATCAGTGCAGCCTCCACCTATCAATTAACCATCTCCAGGGAAACAGTAATTACCTGCACACATGTGTTCTGCATACAGTCACCGCAGCCCCTTTAATTAATGCCACCTCACTGATTCCCCACCGTCTGACTGATCGCTCTAAAAACATTGCCACACACTGTGAAACACACACACACTTTTGCACCTTAAGGTGCCTTACATCTCATATATCAAGGTCTTTAAAAGCCATGCAGAGGTGATGTGTTTGGTGGCACTGTTCTACACTGGACTGCGTGTTTACAGGCCAGGACTCGGCAGATTAAAGTGGCTCAATGTGTGTTTGTTTTATTGATTTGTCTCCTTTAAGAAGGTGACAGAGTAAACAACAGACAGGAGGTCGCTCTTCTGTCGATGGTATCGTTTCAGAATCAGGTGTAGTGTAAATACTCGCAGTAATGATCTCATCTAATCGGCTGTCAGTCTTCAGCTGAGGAGACTCTTCCTCAGATTGTACAAAGTTAGTTTACAATAAACAGTCAGAAAAAGGCTGAGGGCCGAACAGATACCTGAACAGAAAGAATGAAAAACATCCATCAGCTCTTCAATTATTGACACTGACCAAATAACTCAGGAGTTATAGGAGCCCTGCACTTTTTACTCTCCAGTCAACATTAATGCTGTTAACTTTGTTGTCTAATTTATATAAAACAACCACAGTCTGTTATTGTTAACATCGCTCAGCTATACGAGTGCAGTTCTCTGTCAGTATAAAGTTCTTTGACTTGTTTATAATAGACCACGTCTTGTAGAGCTGTGTTTTATGTTGATGCTGCTGGTCATTACATTGGTCCTTATAACACAAAAAAAACATCTGACAAATCTCAGTATATACATCCTGGAAATAACCAAAGTCCTAAACTTTATGAGTATATAGATTTGTATGTCTTGATTGTTTTTTGTAGTACAGATGCTGATTTTCTCCACAATGGTTACAAAGATGTCCGTCTACTGTAACTCTGTTTGTTTGGTTGGATCTGTCACAGTCTTGACTTGGAATAAGCTTTCCTGTTTAGTTTAGTCAGTTTTACTTCCTGTTTTATTTTGTCATTAGACCTTCTCGCGTACCTGTTTTCCTTGTGTTTCTTTATTGTTGTACTCTGAGGTGTAGTGTTTCCTGTTTTATTTTGTAATTTTTGCTCCCTGTGTATCATGACCAATTTCACTTCCTTTCCCCAGTTTCACCTGTGTTTAGTCTGTCACACATGCATTGGGATACCCAGGACGTTTGAGAGGCAGGGCCAACAAAAAGTTAAAAGGGCACCTGCTCTATGCAGTGGCACAGAAAAGCCGTCATACATTTACAGTAGTAGCATAGTAGTAGTTATATGTCCCTGGAGGGCACGTTACCACGTCTAAGCCTCTAGCAGGCACCCTGGAGGGCACTTTGTGACATTTTGTCCACTAAGAGGGCATCTTGGAGGGCACTTTATCATGTTTTGTCCAGTGACAAGGTACCCCGCAGGACACTTCATCATATATTTACTTCCACAGGAATAAAGCTCCTCAGTAATTAGCAGCCTGATTAACTTGGTGTTAATGTGGATTTTATTCTCATTGTGCTGCAAGAACAAACTTCCTTTGTTGTTCTCTCCAGAATTCACAAACACATCTCCTGCATCAGTGTGAAGAATGACTTTTTAAACAAGAAAGGTTCTAAGTATGGTGTTAAATCTGTACTTTTTAAATATTTATAGTTTTTATTATACACTTTCTAATAATCATTATGATGCCATTTTATTAAACTTTTTTGACACATGAAGTCTCAGGCTTTGTTTTAAAATGCTCCATGGATAAAACTTATATTCTGCCAAATGTAAAATACTGTAGCTTCACAAACTAGTTTCTCATTGATCCTGTTGAAATCAACAGTTTGATGTGATGCAGTATTTTCACTTAGCAGACCTGCTGACTCATCACTGACCAACTGAAGGACAACATGCTTTAAAGACTGAACACAGAAAGGAAAAACAGCCCTCTGAGACTTCTGTGTGCGGACCAAAATCCAAGCAAATCATCACCTCATTTTACACGTGGAGGCTGAATTCTAACTAACTGCCTTGGTATGACCTGAAATAAGGAGAATTTGCTGATTTGATGATAATTAATAGGATTAAAGGATGCTAAAATAACCGCATCATAATGCAGATTTGTAAAACGTCTCAATTCATCCTTTGTCGAATCTGATAGGACACAAAGACAATTTCTAAAATGTTTGTTTATTAAATGGATGTTTTTATCAATTACTTCTGAGGCCCCCTGAGGACTATCAACACTGACCGACTTTAAAGCTCCCATATTATGCTTCTTCTGGTTTTATATGCTCTTTAGTGTGTTTTCCAAGTGTCCTGTACATGTTTAGGCACATCTATGTGCAAAAATTCAAAGTCTGCAGAAACGTGGCTTCTCCTACGTCCTCCTGTTAGCTGTAGCATTAGCTGCATGTAACGCTCGGTTCTAGCCCCCCTCGATAAAAATGTGTCAGTCCGACGTCATTGTCAGTGTGAGATCACTGATCTAAGCCCATTGGCTTGTTGTGGCAAGTCCAGCAGCTCATGTTGAAATTTCCGAGACGAGTGCTGAGCAACTGACCAATAACGACAGAGCGGATCAGCAGACCAATCAGAGCAGAGTTGGCCCACGTGGGGTCTAACAGTGTGGGCTCAACAGAGCGTAGCTGACGGACTCAGAGCGTAGAGGGAGCAAGGAGGAGCAGTACATGAAAACAGACACTTTTTTCAGACTTTATCTATTGTGAACGTACAAAAGTAGATACATAGATTAAATATACGAACCCCAAAAAGGGCAGAATATGGGCTCTTTAAGACATAAAGACACGCAATGCTATTTGAAATTCAACTCTCGCCCGTGAGCTTCATGTCATTGAGTTTATGGTGCTTCTAAAAAAAATGTTTGTTTTTTTTGTCTAAACACAGCCTTAGTCATGGTTTGTCTTTAAACCACATTAACGTATCTTGAAATTACAATAAAGCAGTTTGATACGGAGTCAATTTGAACATTTCTATAGCTCTGGATCATGTACTCCCCCTGTGACTGGCTGGGAAGCAGATACAGACTAGAATTTGCTTTATTTAAACTCGTATGGACGATGGGGCCAAGTGGTTGCACAACAAGAAGGGAGAAATATTGGATTTGTTCACTTTGAGACACCTGCCAACACAAAGGCAATCCAAAACGCAGCATGTGTTCAGGCCTGGGTGAGGGGAGAACAGGAATACGATGGTGCCTGTAAGCTTCTTACCAAAGCTGGGGATAATGTGCAGCCAGAAAACTGCGAGACTGATTCCAAGCAACCAGAATTCATAGAGAGGGACTGTGACTGCCAGGAGAGAGGTGGAGGAGTCTAGTGTTAGCGCTTTAGGGATAAAAGAGCAACTGCAGGGGGAGCACACAGAGCTGCAGGGCTCTGCACAGACTGACTGGATACTGAGCTATACAACACACAGGACCGCAGCCGGGTTACTGTGTGTGTGGGGAATTTAACGGATTAAATCAGGCAGGAATATAACTAGCATCTTTATGGGCAGATAAAAGAGCAGCTGAGTTATAGTGCAGCCTGACAGCGGCCAAGGTCATCTTTCATTATAACCACCGCTGGTGTGAGCCAATAACAGGACCTTAAACCCACACGCATGCACACACACTTTTACACACGCACGGTATAGATTTTGTTTCTGCAAATACTCGTGGACTTGGATGCATGAACCATGTGAAAAACTGATCAACATCCTGAGATATAGATTCAAATATGAGCCCATGCACAGTTACGGTAACACGTATCATTTGTATCCATGACAGGAAACACATTTCATTCCAGGAGAAGGTCATGCAGGTCTGTTCTGGTTCTGCAAACCACAGCCATGCTTCATGAAGCGAGCAAACACAACACACACACACACGTTCACACACAGTTTGTTCACACACAGTATCCCGGTAAACCACAAGGAACAGCAGGCAGCAAGGAGCACAGGGGAAGATCTGCAGCCACCACAGTCACAGCACGAGCACAAGTCTCAGCAAACCTCTCAGAGGGAGAAAACATATCAAGATTTAATATCAGGAAGTAGAATGAGTGCAACATTCACCATATAGACCCAGCAGCCATTTTCATGTGATGTGACACTCTGGATGGCAAGCTCAATGGCTGTTATAACGTCATGCTGCTGTGCTCAAGGTAAGCAAATGATATTAATTTAAGAATTTGATAGATCACTTTTCAGCAACAGAACGATAGTGAAAACAATGCAGGATGAGATGTCTTCAGTGAAGTCCATAATTACTTTTTTGTCTGACAAGGTCTTTTCCTTCTACCAGTACGTTTTTTTATATTTCAGTAGTTTCACTTTGTTGGCTCTTTGTGATCTAAATAAATAATTGGTTACCTTTGTAGCTTGTTTATTTCTGGTTCTGAGTCATCTCCTTTTAGCAGAATGTGAAGGTTACTGGGCTGGATTTGGGTATTGGAAGAGTTTTAAGCAGAAGCTTTTTGCAGAACAGTCCCGAGGAGAGCAAAATGACCAGAAAGTAATCGCCCAATAATGCAATCCCTAAACCCATCTGCAATTATCGAAGAACGATTTAGCCTTAAAAAAAAATCCAAACAGCTATCTGCACGCAAGTTCAGTTGTAATCCCCCCTTATACCATGTTCTTAACACCAACTTCATTCAGCAACATCCAGACCGTGCGGGGGAGAGTGCTAGCTCTGATCAGCACACCTCACCCATGCTCTGATTCACACAGTCAGAATTCATTTTTTCAAGTGTCCATTCTTTTCCATGGACAGGATGGAAGTATTTGTTTTCAATCAAACACTTGAGGAGTCATTTCAACTGCAGCATAATTATATTTTATCTCCAAGTTGGTGTTTGAACATTTTCTCTTCTGAAGAATGTTAAACCCATCTGCTGTTTAATGGGTTATCAAGAAGTCTATGTTGTATTTCTATGAACTATGGCCCAGTGTTTCTCCTGATGGACTAAATTCATTCACTCTTCAGTTGCTGATCTCACTTTGAAATGCCTTGTTGTTGAAATGTGCTATATAAATAAACTTGCCTTGCCTTGCTGATCAATGGAGAAATACTGAAATAACCATAGCTGGTGATTGTTTATATGATAGGCAAACCCAAAGCACAGCAGCACAACATTATAATGGAATTTGACCTTCACACCCTGAGTTTGACATCAGAGAAATAATGGCTGCCGTGTGAACATCGTGAGTTAAAGGAGCACATGGGATGGGACAGCTGAGAGGTTTGTCTGAGAGGGGGAGGCAGCAGGCTGAGGGGTCACGGGCAAACACTCGGTCACTCACTGGGTGTCGCTTTGGGACGTCATAGACCCCCTCCTTCTGCTGAGAGGTGGGAACCTGCAGCCGCCCAGAACAGCCGAGAGAGCTCAGTTTTAATCACAGCATGATACACGTCACTGTGTCAGCACTGACACACACTAAAACCTGGCTCTATACCTACGTAATCAATCACTGCTGTGTGTGTGTGTGTGTGTGTGTGTGTGTGTGTGTGTGTGTGTGTGTGTGTGTGTGTGAGGATCAGAATTAAAATCTGTGGAGTGAGAGCTCATCTACGAGGCTGATCAGTCGATCTGAGGTGTTGCTCTCTCTCTCTCTCTCTCTCTCTCTCTCTCTCTCTCTAATAAAGGATGGATAAGGCTGCTTATCACGGCACAGACATGTAATAACTCACGTGTCACACACATGGAGACATGTAATATTTCTGTGTCACACCGGCCGATAGATCGGACACAATGATCACTGATACGAGTGACTCCTGTAGGTTTTTTTTTTCTCTCTCCTGTTTTAAATGAAGTTTTGTTCTCTCCCTCGGCTGAACTAATCAAACTGTGTGTTCAATAAGAAAACAGCTCTGATGAAGAATATCTTTCCAGCACAGCCTGTCTCATTCTTCCTCCTCCTCTCAATGCCTTTTCACTTCTTTCACATGTTTATTTCCAGAAGCTGCCATCTTTATTCATACATCAGTTCCTCTGTGGCTGGAGGCTGGCTCTGGCTCACGTTCTATAAGTGTGTGTGTGTGTGTGTGTTTCTGTTTGTGTATGTTTGTGCACGCGCCAGCAGCACTCCGTTTATTTTCAATCCATTTTATTTAAAGATCAAACGAGAGGCTGGTGATTAATCTTTCTTCCCCCCTCGCTTTCTTTCATCTCCTCAGGAAAAAAGAGGAGAGGGGAGTAGTGAGAAAAGGAGGAGGGGTCTGCCTTCCACACAGCCCAGGAATAACCTCCACATCCCCCCTGTACACCCTGCCCCCTCCTCATCCCCCTGGAGGTCTAACCTCCCCCTTGGAGGACACACCCAGAGTAAGGCTGCACTCTCTGGGGTCGTTCTAGCTGTAGCTTTCAGGCCTCTCTGGAGTGCCGCCTGGTTGTTTCCTCTCATTCTGACCGCCTTTTATTTCCTATACTACATTTTAATGAGTTAAGAAGAGAAGCCATTCATTTTATGAGCGGGCCACAATATACTTATCCCATTAAAGAGTGATGTAGCTGCCTCCTAGTGCCAAGCTAATGGAAGATTAAATCTCTTTACTTTTAACACTTTCGGCAGCTTCTGTTGTTCCATATGAGAAATAAAACGGAGACACAAGCAGATGAAGCAAGCTTGTGGGTACCTGATAAATGCTCTCTTCTGATTGGTCACGGATGGGCTCGTGTCCCGCCTCAAACACAATGTACTACGATTTCAGCAGCGTAAGGAGGAGAGGAAAACAAGAAGCAGGAAGATGAAGAAACTGAGAAAAAGAGGTGAAACTGCAGAGAAGGTTAGTGAAACAGCATTGTCAAAAGTTCTCATCAAACAGAAGTTAAAGAACAGATCTCACTGAAACATGGGGAGAAGTTCAACAACATGCACCTCACCTTTCAGACATGCACACATATCCTCGCCCTTTAATCACACACATCTGACCGTCTCCTGCAGACATCCAAGCCTCCATATTTCTTTTTATTTCTCCCCACACTATAACCAAACAGGGACTGCTTCCACACAGTACACACAGAAAGGAGCAAGCTGCAGCAGTGATGTGATTGGTCAGGAAGTTACCTGGTAGACCGGGTCCTCTAGATCCTCCTCCAGTATTGTCTGCAGGCGAGCGGCGGCAGGAAGGAGAGGCAGAGATCAGAGGGGAGAAGAAGAGGCGGAGAGTTAAGCCGGTGGAGGAGCCGGAGTAGGCGGTAAGCTCAGCGAGACACAGCAGCTTCCCAGCATTCACAAAATCATTTAACAATCATCAGAGAAAGAAAAAGAGGAATTAAATAGAGGAGGAGGAGGAGGAGGTAGAGCAGAGGAAGGTGAAATCAGCACAATGGGCAGATGAAGCCTCTGATGAGACTTGAGAGCAGCCGCTTGGCGTGTCAAACTGCTTGCTTTCATGTCGTCTCAAGTCTTACTTGACTTGTCGGTCAAGAGTGTCTGTGATGAGACTCTTGGAGGATGATCAAGTATAATGACAGGTGAGTGTACCTGGTAGACCGCCTGCTCACACTGCTTGTCTTTCTGAGCTTTTTTCTCCATCTCTTCCCTCTGCTTTATCTCATAGATGAGCTGGAACAGGTCCCGCAGGTCCAGGATCACAGGCTCCGCCTATACAGAGAAAGTAAACCTCATATTAACACTTAAAAAACACACATTTACAGACCCCAACTCAACGTATTGGACCATAGACTGTAAATATCAATGGACGAAGCCTAAGTGTCGTCACCCATCTGTTCACCCATCAGGGGGCTCCAGAGGCTCATCGGGGGCAGCCACCATGCTGGTAATGCTGTCTTAGCCAAACAGAACGACCAGCTGAAAGCTGAAACTGAGGCAGGTTTTAAGACAAACCGTTAAATCCTGCCCGCCTACTCGCCTAACTATGCATAACTCGTATTGTTCATAAAACGGTTGCGTTAAAAAAAGATCTTCCTGTACAGTGTGTCCATAAGGACAATAACTAATCAGGTCAACATTGTTTTTGTTCCAGGCTGTAAACATGTTAATTATTCTGTAAAAACGGTCATTTTTGGCTGTGGTGTGTATGTGATTTCCGGGGCTCTTGGAGCCAGCCTCAAGTGGAGCCTGGACGAACAGCAGGATTTTGCACTTCTTCATTGGCTTCATTTTTCAACACTGGAGGTTGCCGCTTGCTCAGGTCTCATGATGAGCTGCCACCAACCTGCTCTACCTCCTGACAGGACAGTAAGGCCGTGCTCAGAGCAACACTAGCTTTAAACCAGACCCTCACTTCATCTAAACCACAGCCTATCACAGCAGAGCTCCTGTGAACACGGCTTTCAAAGTTTATAACAATTCTGAGCTCCAGACTGACTTGTATGACACAGACTTAAATGGATTTGAAGTTAAAGAGAGAAATATGCATTTTAAAAGGGAAAAAAAATGCCTGCACGGATCTTTTCACTAAAACAAAACAGACCTTTTCTTGTCGATATATAACTCTGCAGAGGTACTCAGAAGCTGCCTCCCCCATTAAAAACACTTTATCAAACGATAATTTCACTTTATCATATTATCGATCACTTCTAGTGTGACTCACCATCTGCTCAGCTGTGATGCTCTGATACATGAGCTGCAGACGTTTCTTAAAGAAATGTAAATTATGGAGTCAGACTATGTGATAATGACACATTTTATAAATCAGCCATAACACTGTGTTGGATCAGAATGAAGTCTAACAACATAACCAGTTAAGGCAACTGTGGTCCATAAACATATGTTCTGCATTTAAATCAGGTGGTGAATGCTTTCCATATACTATAAGACTATAAAAATACTTTTAAAGAATACCGTCTGACACCCTCTCTCATCTAAGGACAATGTGTCAACTCACAGAGTTTTTCGTCTCAGACTGAGATTTTACAAAGACTGGAGATCTTACAGGATCACTAACTGCAGGACTACAACTAGAATAATTTAGAGTATTTCCCATCATGCACCTAGTGGAAAATTAACAACTAAATCTTTTGAACAGAAAACTGAAAAGTAGGAGAAACTAGTGGAGTTGTGGAGAGCAAGTATGCCTCTTTGACATGTTATCCTGCCTTTCCACAGTCCAGGAGCTTTGATTCATTTTTTTTAGCAGTGTAGTCTGGAGTGTTAGAGTGATGCAAAAGCTGTTCATGGTTAGAAACATCATCTTCCCCTTGAACAAAAAGGTCTATCTCTGTCGGGATCCTGTTTGTAATGTTGTCTGACACTTGGCATATCAATCTGAGCCTGACACAAAAAAAAACTTTTAATGGACACACTTTGATCCATTTAGGATTATGATGCAGATGTTACAGAATTTTTCACTTCTTTTGGCCCTATGGGTTCAGCCATATGGGAATTATCCAAATACAGTATTTGGATAATTCCATCTTTTTTCCTTTTTTCTAATGTGTGACTTCTCTAAAATGCTCTTAAAAAATGAACCTATACTCAATACGATACTCTCTGAGCCTGTTATTCTCTTGTTTGTGTCACCTCGTGTCAAACTCTCTCCAAGGGAACTAAAATATAGAAAATAAATGTTTTAGATTAACTCACCATTTACTACTTCTCCTGTCAAAGCAAACATTCTTATGGTGCAACAGTGTTTCAGCCATGATCAATTATTGACCGAGGCTACACACAGAGTGCACCAGGAGTTCACAGCCTGACGCTGCCGTGCAGAAATATGTTATATTCCAGAGTTTTCTTTCTGATTCCTCCTGACAGACTCACTCTGTGGATCCTGCTGAGCCAACAGGGGGAGATATCATCACTGTGTCGATCCTTCTTGCAGATGACACTACATGCTCTTATTCCATCTTTTCTTAAGTTAACAACAGACATAGCCAGCCAAGAAAAGTAGTGATTTTTTAGAAAGCAGAGAGCTGGGAGGATGATGTCGGAGCACAGAGATGAGATAACCTCGGTTCAGCTCTCTTGATTCGGATGACTAATACATGGCCTAAAGCCACACTGATGAATGATTCCAAGAAAAGTAGTGATGTAGACGTTCTCTGCACATACACAGCTCTATTAAAATCTGACTAATCAAGATTTTTTGTGGGGGGAAAAGAACTCTCCCATCCCCTCTGGACATTAATGCAACCACTCACCCTCTTTACCCAAATTAAAGTCGGCTCTTGGTTAGAGTTTGTTGGCAGAAAGCTCCTCAATTTATCTCCTGGAATATTGAATTCCTCTCAAACTGTTTAATCTCCATCAAATTCAGAACCACATTTCCTTAAATGAATTTTTGACGACCTCCAGAGAACATGCTGGAACTTACAGCCGGTGAAAGTAATTACAGCACTGATCAAACTTTTTGCTCTCACTAGTACAGCACGGCATCTCAGACTCCTCCAGCATGGATTCATTCATCTCTGCTGCCCAACGTTGAATTCAGACATCCAGACTTTCTCTTTGACTCTGACACCTTTGATTGACACATGAACATTTTTATCAAAAAGTAAAAAAAAAAAAAAAACTGGACCAAAAACCACTGGAAACCACACCAAGAAAAATGGGTTAATATGAGTTTTACTCTTCTGTGTTTATGACTCAAAAGCAGGAGCCAAAAAAAAAATGTCTGCAAGATTTTCTTTGAGTTTTGTGAAAAAGGGTCTTAATGACTTTTTCTGTCTGTAAAAGTGAGATGAAAAAAGATTTGGCAGAAAAGTTTAAAGGTCAAATTTTAAAACTTTTTGTTATATGCAACTTTATCCCCTTTTTTTTTTACAGATAAAAATGAATGAAAAAGTTATCCTGGCAAATTGTTTTTATATCACATTTGTCTTCCAAATATTCTTCATCTGTTCTTAGTCATAGACAAAATACAGAAATCAGTTCTGGGTTTGTTTTGTTTTTATGCCACACTTCCTATGAGGTTTTTAAGAAGATAAAATTTAACCATGGAACGACAATATCAAGATTTTTGAAGTACACTTTTCACTTTGCAGACTCGATATTATAGAAGCCTTTGGCTGAACTTTTACGTGGTGTGTTAAACATCAAAGTTGTTCTCAAACAGCAGCAGATGAACTCGGGGTAAGATAAGCTCTCTGCTGACAGCTAAACCACTTTAACATTTCTTCTGATTGTTTGTTACTTTTATAATTTACTCATGATAGTACTTTAGTTGCATAGAGACAAAATAAATATGTAATCACTGAAAATGTAACAACTCCTTTGATATCAGAGGGCATGTTATATTCTTTAAACTCTCTTTGACCTTCCTACAAATTGGATACCAGTCTCTGCCATAAAAAGACATTTTTAAATACAATCGTAACTTTTATAAAACTTCTAACAAAGAGTGTGACGGACTGAGAGACTGTGGACAGAATCCTCTCCAACATAATGAACCATCTCCTCTAAATAAAACACGTCTCACACTCTGAGCTGAGCGCTAAGCCAATTACTTTCCAATGTTCCTCCAAATTGTCCTTTTCAGAACGACCTAAAGTCTTAGTGTTCATGACGACAGAGACGCTTTGTTAATTCACATCAAAGTGGTTACTTTCCAATTACAGCCTCTACCGTAAGCTCTGAAAATGTGTGAGTCTCCACCCGCTCGCTGTCTGCTGCTGGACAGAGTGATGTGATGGTGCGTTCAAGTCCTGAAACTGTGAGAAAAATATAATTGTGACCTTTACTCAGGCACACATTAGATAAACGACAACTCAGGTGACTGATGAGAGGTTAGCGCCGGCTGCAACGTTTGGTTTGATACATTTTTTTTAGTGGAAGTACAGCCCTGTGTGTGTGTGTGTGAGTGTGTGAGTGAGTGTGTGTGTGTGTGTGTGAGTGTGTGTGTGAGTGTGTGAGTGAGTGTGTGTGTGTGTGTGTGTGTGTGTCAGAGAGCCACGGTTCATGGCCTGGGAGGATGGATATGCCATTAGAGCCGGTGACACACACTCAAACCCTCATCGACTCGCTATGGGAAATCGATACGAGGACAGAGTGAGCCAGCTGGTTCCAGACTAAACAAGCCGAGCACAGAGACACAACAACAGCTACAGCCATCCCAACAGGTCAAACAGGGGTACTCAATATCATAAAGAGTGTGTTTCTGCACACACACACACACACACACACACACACACACACACACACACACACACAGAGACGCGAACACAAGGGCTTGACAGAGTAAACAGTTTGTTTGACGAGCAGCACAAAGGGACGTGAGCTGCTGTTCGAGGGTCCTTATCTAAATGTCGAGAGGTGTCATGTTGCCCTGATGAATCATACATTAACCTACACACAGATGGAGCACTGTTTAACATGTACACACACACACACACACACACACACACACACAGAAACACACACTGACCGACTGTGCCGTCTTGATGGCCACAAAGCGGTGGTTCCCTTCCTTCCCGCAGACGTAGCCGAAGGCTCGGTGGTCCGTGATATCCTTGGCGATGTATGAGATCTCATGGACTGCATGGTGATGCTGGAGGACCTGAAGGTAGACACAACACGAGATGTTTAATGTTTAATGCAACATCATTGCACCCTAACCCTAACCCTGCATTATCATTAATTTTTCCAGAAAAGGTTCAATTTTTTGCCGATATGTTTTTGCTAATTTTCGCTATTAATAGAAAAATAAACGCATCGTACTCGTTGTGCAAGGTTTAATCTATGATATCACTGTCCTTTATATTCTCAAAGTTTGGACTATATCCCTATTACATGCAACGTTTTACTCCATTCCAGGTTTTCTCATCATAATACTCGCTAATAAGAAGACATTAACTCTAAACAGATGGAAACTTGCACGTGTGTTTATCATCCTGCCTTGTTGATTTTTTAAGGGGACTAATCTTATATCAAAAGTTGGTTCTATTTTTAAAGTTTGGGGTCTCTATGAACATTTTGAAATGCTTTAATAGTTTGCCTTAGCCCACATCTTCCTAAATAAAAAGCTCTATCCCTTTAAGGATCCTTTCGGTTATGTTGTCAGTAACTTAGAATAGAAATGTGAGTCTGTCAGGGACAAAAACAACACAAACAACTTTTAACGGACAACATTTAGTGACCTTAAAGTCGCCCACCTCGTTTTTTTTACCCAAGGTTTGACCTGTTTCTGACTCCATCTGCTGTCATGTCCTCTAAGGCTTGAAAAAAAGAAAACTTTAAATAAAAAGGGAAGGATGATATTGGCTAAAGCATTCAAATCCATCAGTTCTAAGACTCTTATTTTCCTATTAAGTACCAAAGACACGTTTAATAAGGGCTCATTTATCATTTTTCCTGACCCATGATGACTTGTACTTTGAATTTTAAAGTTTTACTCATTCATGCACAAAGATACAAAAGGCGACAGAATATTAAATCACATTCCTGTTCACTTCACAGAAACCTGTGAGAAAGTGTCCCCAGAGTGCTGACAGAAACATGCTCTCTCACACTGAGACCTTGTCTCCCACATTAAACTGTCTCTCTCCCCTCTGCCCTCTCCTGTTAGCCTGGCTGCACGGTGCCAAGCTGGCACGGCCCGCGGCAGATGGCTCTGTTTTTCCCCAGGACAGAGGGGGGATCAGTGACAATCACAGCTCGGCAAGCTGTCGGCCTGATCACTTCATCTGTGCCCTCACTGTCAACACACACACACACACACACACACACACACACACACACACACACACACACACACACACACACACACACACACACACACACACACACACACACATACACAACCTCTGTTAAGTCACACTAAATGTCTGCTTTGTTGTCATTGTGTGTGCCAGATGCATGCTGGGAGAGGAGACACGCAGTCAACATAACGACCCAGCAGCCTCGAGTGTATGAGCCAGGTTAGAGCTCCATACATCAGAGGCTAAACACACACATGTGCTGTGTGTGAGGCTGCTGTGGACGCACAACAACACACAAAACAGTGACACCATTTAACACCGGGGCATCACACACACACACACACACACACACACACACACACACACACACACTGGAGGCCCCAGCAGACGTAGATAATCATTGTGTGAGTCATGTCGTCTTAATTTAATAATTAGAGTAATGATTATTATTATCACCTCTGATTGACCTGAAAATGACAGCCTAGACACGCACACACAAACACACACACACACACACACACACACACACACACACACACACACACACACACACACACACACACACACACACACACACAGCTCATTTGAGAGGTTATTGGATTATGTGTGGGTGGGTGGTGAGGTGACAGAGCGGCTCTCTGATTCAAACAGAGAACAGAATGAAATGACGCAGAGATTCAATCACTCTGCTTTCTCTTGAAGAAAAAAAGAAACGCTTTAAATTGACACACAGTCAGTAGCTTGCAGCAATAGTTTGTCATGTGCAGCCTTTACCATTTCATATTTTCATTTACAGATCTAACAAAGAGCTAAAGATGTCTGCAGGCAGATTACTTCCTCTTGCTGTCATGGCTCTACAGGTGCCAAGCACAGCCGTGCCACAGCTCTGGCTCAGACTTTACAAATCATTAGAAAACTTGTAGAAAACAAAACAGGAAGTGTTATATAACCATGTCAGGTTACCTATATAACCAATAACAGTCATACTCTAACTGCATGCGTAATTGTTAACTGTAGAACAGCAGCAGTGTGTTGCAACAGTGGCATGACCATAGACTGTAAATATTAATGGTGAGTGGTGTCATCCATCTGTTCCTGCAGGAGGCTCTGGAGGCTCATCATCGGCAGTCGCCATGCTGGAAATTATATCTCAGCGTAACTTTCAGTCTATGTAACGACAGGCTAAGAGCTATAGCTGAGAGGGGTTTCAAGCCTTATGACACTTTTGCCGACAGGACAGCGACACTCTGCTGCTTCTGTTGCTGAAACATTCAAAATGTTTTGTTGCATCATTCCGGGTAAAGTTTGGACGGAGCAGTGAGATGTGAATCTCAGGAGGGCGTCCGTCGCTGCAGCCGACACGTCTGACAGCCTCAGCGATCAGACGCTGCTCTGAGGAGCTTAAAATCGTTGCATTCTCGGGGGGGGGGAGCAGATTGTCTGTAAAACAGGTGGGTGTGTAAAAAAAGTCGATACTGACTGAGTACTCTACTCTTCTCTGCAGCAATGTTGATATGCACTACAGTCATTCCTGTCACCTCACAAACACACACACACATACACACAGTGTCAGTGTCTCAAAGGGACATCGGACAGCGTGCCCTTCAGCAACAGCTGGCCACTGAACCGAGATATTCCCTGTTACCCTGAGAGTGAGGAGAGGGGAGGAGGAGATTTTCTTTCTCCTCATTCTATTTTGCCGAGCAGGGGCATCCGAAAAGTCTGTCCAGGCTCTACACAGCAGGTCTGAGATTAGATGTTGTGTGATAAATGTAAAGAATTGTGTTTCCATAAAATATTACAGACTCCATTTTAAACACAGTATAGTTCAATTAAAGAAGTTGTCATAATCTTAAATAAGGGTGAATTTTGGCGCCCCGTGTGGTCGGAGTTAGTACTATTTAGTGTCATTTAAAGATATGGTAATCTGAGTTTACTAATCTTTTGAAGCTGGTTTCTGGATCAGGTTGATACAAACTGGTTTTTCATCAAAAGTGTGGACAAAAGTGCAATCTTTCACATGATCATGGAGAGTGAAAAATGGGATTTCTAAATATTCCATTCTGATCCAGATGTACCTTTCTGAAAAACTGGGCCCTGTTTGTAACACTTCTCATAACCCTGACCCCAACAAATCAATTTTTTTCTGCTTCCTTGCCTTCCTCTATGTTCTGTTGAGAGTTTGCCCTCACCTTGACTCTCACTTCCTGGAACGTGACTCCCCCCCAGGTCAACACACACGACCCTCCGTTCATCCTCTTAGACCGGATCCCTCGAACATCACTCCCTCTTCCGTGTACTTTTCATACAGAGTCATGTCTGCAGATTGAACCGGACTAATTTGATCTTTCTGATTTGATTCTCTGAGGCAGAGAGACTCCAGTCTGTGGAGTTGTTGACCTGACGTGGAGCTGCAGCCCTGACCAGGCTGCTGAAGAAATGAGTGTGTGTGTGTGTGTGTGTGTGTGTGTGTGTGTGTGTGTGTGTGTGTGTGTGTGTGTGTGTGTGTGTGTGTGTGTGTGTGTGTGTATGTGTGTGTGTGTGTGTGTATGTGTGTGTGTATGTGTGTGTGTGTGTGTGTGTGTATGTGTGTGTCAGAGAGAGGGAGACATGCTGGCCTGCCCTCTGCTAGATTAATGTCTCCCCTCTTCTTCTCCTCCATCTCAAGCACCCCCTCCTTCCATCCTGCACGACCTTCCCTCCTCCAAGAGAGAGGCCATCCATCCATCCGCTCGCCCATACATACATCCGCCCGGCTGACGGATGCACGGGAGGGGAATGAGACTGTCAGGATCCCTGAACCTCAGCACAGTCATTCTCCCCCTCTGTCTCCCCCTGCCTCCCTCCCTCCCTCCCCAGCCATTAGAAGTGGTTGAAGGACTGATAGTAAGGACAGCATATCTCTATAGTTAATATTAATGTGAGGAGACAGAGGACAAGGTCTCCCTGTGGAGAACTTTACTTTGACATATGTTCACCGATTCTCTCCCTCTCCTCTAACTCTGTCTCAGTACGTCTCTGTCCCCCTGTCCTTCCTCCATCTGTCTTTTTCAAATCCCTGTTTCCGCTCATCACCTTCTTACTCTTTCTTGTCCTTTCCTTTTCTTCCTCCTTCTGCTCTCAATCTATGTCTACTTCTTCCTCATAATCCGTCTCTATCTTTCAGTGTGGAGCATCAGGATGGAGACAGAGAGAGATGAGGGTTATAAAAAGAGGGATGAAGGATTGGACTGCCGCATGCAATATGGCTGCCATGTAGGAGGCCACTGGTTCTTGTGTCCTGTCTGTCTAGCACCTGACTTACTGCTGAGTGCGTACACACACACACACACACACACACACGCACACACATCTAGCTCCTGTTGAGGTGTAAAGCTCAGACTTACCACGTCAGCAGCTAAAGCCAGCTGCAGATCAATGAGCTTCATATCGTGTCTGACTACACAGAACTCCATTATTTTTTTTTTATATATTTAAAAAAAAGGATTTTCCAACACAAAAAAACAAGAATCAAACGTCCAAAGATTTCCACTTGGATCAAACTCACCTGACTACTCAATCACTGATTTCTTGGGTGTAATGTGACACAAATGCTCGATTATTTACACACCTGGCAGAGAAATGGCCCATTAAGTGAGGCTGTCCTCCAACCACAGTGCTAAGTATCCTGGGTAATGTAGGCTCTATATCTCTTGGTCAAGGCTGCTGTGACAGGTACGACCAGATGGGGAGTCTAACCTGGACATTACCTGTCAGAGGATCCTTGAGGAAGAAATTCAAAGAGAAATCACTCGGCTCTGCTCTGTCCACTCTCCCTCGAGCTGCATGCAGACTCCCTCTGCTGCAGCAATCAACAACTACACATACAGTTTTCATGTCTACAGAGTGTCTGCTACCTGGAACCAATCTTTGTAAATCTGTGAGGGGCAAATTCACAAATGATTTTGTGAACTTTGTGACCCCTAAAACTGCGCAAGCACTGACTGAGCTAATGACAAGTTGTAATAAGCATGAGGGGGAAATGCTCTCAGCTGCAAAACTTTATTAAAGTTTTTTTTTTGCACTTTGCTTTTTATCATAATTTGTTAATCAAGCCTGATAATAGTGAGTCATAAAAATGCATGGTCTTATAAGAAGGCGTAATCTATTCTTTGTGAATTCTCTCTAGTCATGTCGTGATGTCAAACCATCAAAGAAACGAGAGAGACTTTTTTGAGTTATTATGGACGTTTACATGATCAGAAGTTGGCTGACCAACTGAAGGAATCAAAAGCAAACCAGAGACTAAAATAACGTAACTTATTGACAAAGAACGGTGTCAGTCGGACAACAAAGATCAAGTCGGTCGAGCAGAAAAGCAGCCGTGTAAAATAGAAAATGGATAATCCGGCAGAATAATACAGAACAGTGTTGTTGCTGTTTGCGGAGCAGCAGACAATAAGAGAGCCGTGTTCGCTCATCTACTGAGGCCGTGTTCTCAGGGTTTCAATTAGGACCTCCTGATTTCCCCAGGGGCCCCTCCCTCTCATGGAGATGCCTCATTAACAGAGGAAGCACACACACACACACACACACACACACACACACACACATATTTTGCTTGCGAGCACAAACACGCACACACACATACACATAAACCTGTGAGCTTACCCCATTCTTTTCATCATAGATCTTGATCCCGCCAAAGGAAATGGTCAGAAACACCTTCTGTTTGTGTTCTCCTTTAGACCGCGCTGCTGCAGCAATGCCCTGAGGACACACACACACACACAGGGAGAAAAATGTTTACAGCAGCTGAGATATAGTAGCCTATATGTGCACAGAACCTGGAGAGAATCCCTTTGGGCATTTATTTCTCTTCTATTTACTTTGGTACCTCTCATAATTATATAAACTATTGCTCTAGTCCATTCTTAAAGACTTTACTTACAAAACAAGATGAAAACAGTTCGCTTCAAATGTGACTTCATAAGAGAAACATACAGTATATTTGGGATGATTGACGTGGTCATCTTGCTGTATGGTATTTCTTCATGAGACATTATAAAGGCACTCGTGTTGTTGCCATAATTCCACAAGCAGCTTTTCTTATTCAATCTTCCACTTGGCTCAGGGCACAGTTGTGTTTATGTTCACTGCCATGCTTGTGAGCTGTATAAATACACAACATCCGGTTGGTGACGCTCTCCGGTCTGCTCGCTCTCATTGCCTTTTTTGTTTCACATATACAAAGACATAGAGTTCCCTAACTCTTGGTGCATGTGTCTGGTTTTAACTGGTGTTGCAGTTTGTTTTTTACTTTTACAGCAGATGAAAAAAAGCAGTCACAGAGAAAAGTTCAACACAAAGACGCAGAAATCCCTTTTCTACCCTCAGCAGTTCACATAACTCCCTGAGGTGTGCTTGTGATGAATATTAACAACCAGGAGTTAATAAATATTAAGTAGATATTCATGAATTCACAGCCAACATCTGGTTAAACAAACAGAAGGACTGGAGGACATTAAAGAATACAAGATGTAGAAAAAAGTGAGATACTAACATTGGTTCATAATTAAACTAAAAAAAAATAATCACACCTTTTTTACATGCTTATCACTTGATTGTTGATTAATCTGTAAGATACTTTCTCAGTTTCTTATTTATTTTTTCAGTACCTTCAGTTTACTGTCACAGAAAATATTCACATTTAGGTTTTTGGAATCAGAATGGTTTTAGTTTTTGTGTTAAAATAAACTCAAATCGATAAATCAATTATTTATGTAGTTGTAAATTAGAGTTATAACTGAAAAACACAAATTCATCAAATAATTGGGCTGTCACCCTTGCAGAAATCACCTGAAAAACTCCTGATATTTCCCAGAGGATCTGTATATGTGAACGCGAACATCAAAATATTTCGCTCTGACTTCACCTGGAGTTTCCCCTGCCAGGCCTGTAGTATTTTTTCGACAGCAAGTCTGAGTGGGCTGATGTGTGAACGCAGCAGGATATTCTCTGGAGAATTCACCTCGAGCCAATAGGAGGGGGAGTGACGTTTCTATACTGTGACTGATGCACAATGCATAAAGTGTCTGCATGGGACCACTACGATCTCTGTGCAGGTAATTAAAGAGCTGCATTACGTTTTCTGTTCATCAGTAGGTAAATGGTAATAGTAAACAGACTTGAGCTTGTATATCACTTTTCTAGTCTTCTGATTACTCAAAGAGCTTTTACACCATGTCACACCCATTAACACCCATTCACACACTGATGACAGAGGTTTCTATATAGTGAGAACATCAGAAGTAACTAATCCCATTTATACGCATTGATACGTCATCAATGAAGCAGCAGGAGCCATTTGTATTAGGTTGTTCTTCTTTCTTTTGTTGATAGTGTAATTCCGCCGAACTAGCATCAATATTGAGTTAAATATTCTCATTATACTGTTGCTTCGTCTGCTACTTCTGCGTCTTTTTTTTTACGTCATGTCATACCTCGGGAGACCCCCCCGCCCCCCCTCCAGTCTGACAGGGATAGAGGTGAGGTGCATAGTGAACAGCCAGGTCAGGAGAATATCCGGAGCAGTCCTTGCAGGAGTGTATACAGTATGTGAAAACGTCTAAAGACATGCCCACTTTTCCATGTCCAATTTGTATTTACTCCAAAGTGGTATGACAAATAGTCATATTACAGTTTGTCAAAAGATATTTGTTGTGCTACCCATGTCCTGTTTAGGATTTTTATTTTTTTATTTTTAAATATATGTTGCATATTTTAGCTAAAAACTGTCATGTATGTCACGGACATGTTTTGTCCCAGTTCTCAAGAAGCACTGAGTTATAATAGTTTTTGCTTAAGCAAAGTCAGTTATTTAAAAATATGAAACATATTTGAAGCTTTGTTGCTTTGAACATTTTAAATGTAGGTGCAGTAGTGTCTCAGTTCGACAAGCAAACGATGAAAGCAGGGTTTAGAGGTAGTCCATTTTGATTTGTGAATGTGTAATTTTCCAAGGATAATAAGGAGTTGAATTACATGTCCACTTTAATCAGCTGAATTCTGCATCTTCATGTCATAGCCTAGGCTGTTGAAAGGCATCATGTGAAATGTAGGGTGCTAAGAACACCTGCTGATGAGGATTTATAACTATATAAGGTTGTCTAAAGGTGGAATTCCTCTTTACGCACCGTGCGTACACATGTAAAGGTGAGTCACAAAAGTAGAGGAGAAGCGATGAGCGAGGAACACAGGATGGAGGGAGTCGGGACACGAGAGGGAGGAGCAGAATGAAAGAGGAGGTGGAGAGATCAGAGAAAAGGAGGTGATGGATTTCCTGTCTGAGTAAATGAGGAGGAGGGAAGCTGTTTGATCAATGAGCTGTCTGTCCTCTCCTTACCTCTCTGCACCTCGATGGCTCGATGGAGTTTTCACTGCACAAACAAAACCTGAATACAATCTTCCCCATTTAAATATCTCCTGCAGCGTGTGCAGCACATGTGTTCCAAGGTAGTTAATAATGAATAAGGAGCTCTGACACAAGACAAAATAAGTCTGGGTTTTGTTTTGATTGTTGCACATTGTCTAGTGTATTTTACTTCGACATAGCAGTAAACTATTTTAGCTTTTACATGAAGTCTCTGTTAATTAATGAGGTAAACGGCTTATTTATCCTCATCTTTATCCTCTCTCTCTCTCACCTATCATCCAAATTACCCCCCTCTCTGCTAACTGCCCCATCTGCCTGCCTCTCCCTCTAATTGTCCCCGTCCTTGCAAATGAGACATTCACCTCGCTCTCCTTCTCTTCCATATGGCTCACCTCCTCACTTCCTTCCTGCACTGATCACTGTGTCCTGCTGATCAATCCGAACATCCTCATTTTTTATGTTTCCTTCAACCAAGAATTTGCAAACGTTACATGCGTGCATGTAAACGCATATGGTGCAAGTCCTGCTGAGCTGTACTATAAATGCATATTAAACCATTAAACTTTAGATTATGTAACAAGCTGAATAACTATTTTACGGACAGAAAATGGGTTGGCTTTCGATGTTAAATTTTTTCTGAGGGGTCACGTTCCTGAAAGCAACAACATATAACTTTTCCACCTTAAAATTGTCATTTCAAAGTCGATCTTATAGCAAAGTAACTTTCAACAGGGAGCACTATGTAACTTTGGCAGCGGGCCGAGTGTCATCTGGTGAGAAGTTTGTGTGGCTTTACGGCACTAGTTCACACAGCAGCCTTCACCTACAATGCAGCCCGTCAGCCCGTCTCTGTACTGTTTGATACAATGACTGAGGCTAAGAGGAGGAGGACAGTGATGGGTGAAGGTAAGAAGAGAAAAAGAGATTGACAGGGCAAGAAGCTGGAAAGGAAAAGGAAAGGAAATATTGGACAGACTTTTGGATGCTAGAGAGAGCTTCAAGAAACGGAAGGCTGCAAGCCTGACAATGAGCTGGTGATGATGCTGTCGGATGGTTGCATGCTGGTTACACTATTGCCCAGTGAGTAGGTATTGTGATCTGTCTCACGGCTAATGGGAAAAGCTACAATCCGACTACAGATTGTACATCCCTGCAGATATCATTCAGAACAGATTGAGGCTGTCATTATCGGTGTCATCGTTGTCTCGTGTTCAGCAGCTTTCGCAGAAAGTCATCTAACCCTGATTTATCTCAGGTTTGCGTACAAATAAATAAATAAATGAATTCATCTTACGCCTAAAAGTCGTCTCTTTCCTTGTCCAGCTTCAAGTTAGCTTCATAAGTTTGGAACCTTACAAACATATCTCAACTAGCATTTAATAATGGGCGGCTGTGGCTCAGTTGGTAGCGTTGGTAGCGTCACCTCTCAACCAGAAGGTTAAGGGTTCAATCCCCAGCTGAGCAACATGTCCAACGTGTCCTTGGGCAAGACACTTAACCCCGCTGCTTCAGTGGCAGTGAATGAATGGATTAGTGTTGTACTTACTCTCTGATGTACGTCACTTCAGATAAAACTGTCTGCTAGGTGAATTTTAACATTGTAATAAATGACCATCTCCAGTGAAGCCATTTAGCCACAGCCTAAAGACATCATGGTAACAGTTGAATACACATACATGTACTCCACATGCTAACAGTTAGCAAACAACGGGCTTCTTTGCAAACAGCTCTCATTTTTCCTTTTTACATATCTCATCATGATGTTGCAGAGTAAAGCCGCTGTATAACTTATATTCCACTGAGATATAGCAGATGAACAGGTGCCACTCTTTGATGTTGCAGACACAGAAATGACAGCGTTTATATTGCTGAAAAGTTGTGTTCAGAGATTGACAAAGTTGATATTAAAGTAAGGTCGACTATCATTTGTATTATTAAAAAGCAAGGAACCATGTAAGTAGCGATGTTTAAAAAGAATGGGGAGGAGAAGAAGACTTTCTTACCTTGAGCTTCATCATGGAGTCCTGGCAGAGTTTGTCTCCCCGGGCGGCGGTGACCTCGTCCAGGCCGATGAGCTTGGCCTTGTAGCGGACGCCATCGCCCTTAAAACGCCTGATGAGAGTCGCTTCGCTGCGATCCTGCCCTGTGGACACAAACACACACACACACACACATACAACACACTGTGAATCTTCCAGCCAAGGACCTCCATCTACCTCAGACCGGTTCTATTACCTCGGGCTCATCAATCACAGGGAGCACAAAAGACTGGAGCAGTAATCTGAGAAAAAAAAAACACGCGGCGAGCAGGTCAGAGCTCCTCATGTTAGCTACATCTTGTTATGTGATTCAGACGGAGCCGAGACTCGCAGCATTGACCGGAGGTGTCATATGGACGACAGCGCTCAATAAACTCAGACACACCAATCAATGAGGTTCAGCAGGATCACAGTCCAAACTGTGACTGCTCTCCTCCTGTAAAACAACAGTGTGGCATTTCGCTCTAATCTCCCTCTCTCTTACCCGCTCCTGCCTCTCTCCTCACCCTCTATTGTGCGTGAGATTGTCAGCATGGTGCGCATACATTAGCGAGCGTTGGCCGTGTTTTGACCTTGCTCTTGTCCAGGAAGTGTGTGTGTGTTATCTCCTGAAGAGGTTAAAATGCTGCTCTTTACAAAGCACACAGAGATGAACTCACTTCCTCTTTGTGTTTCACAGTCTGACCTGCAGTGCGCAAACATTTCATCATCAAACATTGTGTCCTGTGTGTGTGTGTGTGTGTGTGTGTGTGTGTGTGTGTGTGTGTGTGTGTGTCCGTCTGCTTGATGTGTGTGTGTGTGTATGTGTGAATGAGAGTGCCCGAGCGATGTTCAGAGGGAGAAGCATAATGATAATGCAGCATATTCAGATAATATATAGAGGCATTAGTTCTGTACTCTGTAACAGCGTGACTCCTGGAAGGTCACAGTGGGAGTGATGGAGAGGTCCCTCTCCTCCTCTCCTCGTTCTCTCACACTCCCTCCATCCGTCCCTACAGCACTGCAGCACAGCAGAATGAGCTCTTTAATGTTACATGTCTACACTAGATCATCTCCGTCCAACACTAATCTCCCCTTCCCTCAGCTCGCTCACTTTTAAAGCCTTCATCTGCATCACCTGAGTGAAATCGTATTTCCTTGGATTCTCGAGGTTGGACGATGTTTAAGGACGTTTAAAACTTAAGTGCTGAGGTTTATACAGAAAGTTTGAGGGGTTAGCAACAATGGAGGAGAGCCAGTAGGGTGTTATGGTGGAATAAGAACAAGAAGCATTAAGTAAGATTATCTGAGATTCCACTTAAAATAGAAATGTGGCCATTTATTTAATTTGGTTAAATTAAAAAGACTAACCTGTAGACTGTAACACCTGTGTAGCTTTGCTTGCCAGAAAAAAACGTAGAAAGTAGAAAAGCGGACTTAGATGTGGCTCTACAGTGCTCATAGATGGATTGCTTAATATAGTTTTTTAAAACTTGGTTCCGGAACTAGACTGCGCCTCAAACACAACCCATTTCTGTTTCATATGTATTAAACTTAAAGCACGCCTTAATCACTCCTATTCCTCTGACGCTGATTTCATATCCTCCCCCCTGAACCCCTCTGTGTTTCTTCTTCCACTTCTCTCTCTGTCTGAACAGGAACAATGAGGGTTCCATACAGACAGCAACAAAGAGATGGCTCCCCCACCCAGAGTCTCGACCCTGCTGGTTTCCTCACGTCGTACAGCACCTACATCGGCTGACAACAGTCCTTCTTCCATTCACTGTACACACATACAGCGCCTCCATACATGGGGCGCATGCTCTAACAACTGCGCCACCAGCGCTCTAGGAAGTTCTTAACATTGTCTGGCAAAATAACAAACCTGAGGAAATCTTGTAAGCCAAAGTGGTAAATTGGGGGTATTTATGTAATCAGCTTTAATACTATGAAAAGTGAAAGTGCAATACAACACAATACATCCATACTGATTCACACCATACTGATTCTACAATGGCGTGATATATGTGTCCTAGTCTGTGAATTCACATTGTGTAGAAAGCGTTGCAGAAGTGTGAGAGAGAACGGCATGCATGTAAACACACAGCAGGAGCTCCATACACACAGTCAGACATGCACACACACACACACACACACACACACACACACACCCTCTTACAGTGATCCTGTCTCGCCCCTGTAACACCTCTGTAACTACCTCTGAAGCCAGCACAGAGGGGGGATCATTTAATCTCCCCATTACACCCCTGTGACATTCATACTGCAGGGAAAAGACTACCGTTTTTTTTATTTTTCATAAGCCCAGAATGCCAACCATGTTTCACGTAATATCTAAATCCAACTTGTTGTCTAACTTGTCTAAATCTGTCTTGCTAAACACACCAGCATCAATGTTCAGAGAAATAGCAGGACCATCAGGTGGTTTTTCCTCTGAAAACAACACTCCAATGTGAGAGACTCGAACAGAAAGTTGAGAAAGTTCAAGAAAATTCATTTGTCTGGAAATCCTTCAGTCCTGTCTGAAGAAAGAAACACTAACTGTGATGTCCATTGAAAAAAGATAACATCTACACACACACACACACACACACACACACACACACACACACACGCGGTGAGGATGATCTCATTCTTCTGAATCATTAAACAGACACACTCTCTGTCACAGTTGTACTCGAGTAAATCACAAACTGTCTGCCTCAAAGCCTTCAGAGACAAACGAGCCGCAGAACATCTGTCCTTATTTTGGAGGCAACGACAGAGAAGTACGCTCTGATTTCTTTGTTTTGTCGTGTCTCAGACGAGAGTAAATGATTAAACCAGCGAAGCATTCTTTCTGCTCGACACAGACACGTTGAAGACATTTAAATATCCCGATCATCAAACTTTAAACCGTCCCATGAAATGTGCAAACACACAAACAGGAGGCGCTCCAATGACCCCCTCCTCCCCCTCGCTCAGCGAGACACAACACTGCTGCTGTGTGTAAAAATAATCACACTCATATTTCTTTAACACCCAAACATGAGCGGTTTGAAAAACAACAGCTTTAAATGTTTCTGACTGCTCGAGAAAACAAACCGAAACTTTCATTTCTGATTCCACATGAAGTTATGTTTCTGTGCGGCCACAAACACACATTAAAGCGGCCCTGAGGAGCAGCACTGCAAACTAACTGAAGTTTCATTCAGTGTTGTGTGTTTGCTTAGTGCTTAACAAACATGGGGAGTGTTTTTCCTGCTGCATGAAAAGGTGGAAAATTTGAATATTGGAGCTCTTAATGATGCATTGTTTGCATTCATGTTTACTCTCAGTCTTCGTTCATGCAGTTCACTCAACGTACAAACTGTGGATCACCAGAGGATCAAACCAAACACTGAATGCAACTTTCCCCACCAGCACAGTCTGCATCATCATGTACAATCTAAACAGCAACTCTCTCACTAGGTAGCTCCACATGCCACAAGTGTAATATTAGCAGGGTTAGTATTTTGTATATTTGGGTTTATTACTTGTAGATTTTGGTTTTAGTATTTGTATATTTCTATGTTTACTGATATTAGGCATATACAGGCTTGCTCCAACAGTATTTTTTTGCACTTATACAGTGACAATAAAGATATCTTATCTGATCTTACTACCCAAGCACTTCACAGAGAACCTTCAAACACATGTTTTGATTAAAACTTTTTTTAAACAATGTTGAATCTACCCGTTCAGTTTGAAAAAAAAGACACTAGAAGTAAACAAAAGAAAGAGCTTAATGGTTTCCAGTTTGAGCTGAATACATAAATCAAACAGAACTAATCTGAAGTACTCTCAGAATCAATGAATCATTTAACTGTTTGATCGTTCAAAACGTTTTGCTTCTTTTTGTTAATTCTGTGAAAAGTCTCGGGTTTTGGACTCTTTGTTTTATAATAGAAGCTTTTAATAACTACATTTCATAATAAGATCAGATAAGATGAGAAATAACTAAAAAGAGCATCAAATATAAGATAAATTAAACAGAAAATGTATTACAATTATTCAATGGATTAGGGTTCATTAAAATGTGCCTAATAAGCATAAAAAGAGATCATACGACAGTAATAGAATTATCGACAGTAGTACAGACCGTGGCGCCGTTTATAAAAGCTCCAGGTAGAGCCCACGCTGATAATACATACTTGATCTTAATCTGGGGATGTGTATAAAGAGTATTTTTCCAACTTTCTGATCGAAGATAGATACAAATCTTTATTGATCCAGAGGAAAACTAAATATTTTTTAACAGGAACAGATACTACACTTGATCTTAAACTAAAGGCCAAGAAGCAATTATGTATCAATGATCCTTCATTCAAAAAAAAACAATATGATGCTTCCTGTCATAATAAAAGTGTTTTTAATTACAGTCGAGGGAAATTACTTGAAATCTCCACAAACATTTTGACCAAGTTTGAGAAACCTGTACTGATAATATGGTTTGATTATTATTCTAATGAACTGCAGATTGATTTCCTTCAGTGTGAGCTGTGCAGGGCTTCAGTGTGTGTGTGTGTGTGTGTGTGTGTGTGTGTGTGTGTGTGTGTGTGTGTGTGTGTGTGTGTGTGTGTGTGTGTGTGTGTGTGTGTGTGTATGTTATTGTTAAATAACACTGCATGAGTCCGGCTACTTCTGTCTCACAGGAACAGTTTTCATTTAGGTTTGACATTTAAGACCTGCTCTATCTCCATTACTGCTGCTATACTTAGTACAGAAAGAGAGAGAGAGAGAGAGAGAGAGAGAGAGAGAGAGAGAGAGAGAGAGAGAGAGGCCAAAAGGGTAGAACAGAGAGTTAGAAAGATGAAGGGGGTCCAGTTTTGTCTGCTGAGCATTTTATATTACTACCTTTTGGGAGCATGATGTGTGTGTGTGTGTGTGTGTGTCAGCAGGGGAGACATTCACTCTGCTGTAATTAAATGTCCTATACTGCTGTGACCCCGCTGAGCTTCAAACACAACTAATGAAAGAATCTCCCGTTTTATCTGTCATTGCTGCTTGAAAAACACACACACACACACACACACACACACACACACACACACACACACACACGCAAACACACAGGCACACACACACA